AGGAGGCCACGAGCAGGTGGTGAAGCTGCTAGTCGACAAGAGCACAAGGCCAGTTGGGATGTAGGTAATAGTAGGGAAAAGTATAAGAAGACTGCTAATAGAGATGGTATTTAAATATGCTTCTAAGTGATATGGAACCGTAATGGAAGCGATCCAGAGCAAAGCCACTAGCGCAAGCAGGGAGGGTGGCCGACCCGCGTTGACTCTGACCTTGTAGACGCATCAAAATGTACAGTATAGGTAATAGGTGGGTAGAGATAGTTACATGTGGCACAGCTCATGGAATAATGGTGGCAGCCCAGTACGGCTGAAGGAGGGCCTGGCAAGGTAACACGTGACTTAGTGTACCCCTGAACCTTAGAACCTCTAAATGCTGCCTAGATGGCATCACACACATTATAACTCATCACCGACAGTAGTATTCGCCCTTGTCTCTTGCTATGCCCAAGCGGGGGGCTACCTAGGCACACGACACGCGTCATCCATCTCTTTCATCAACTAAACCCGACTCCACCACCCCTCATCACACACGCAAAGTGCTTTCCTCATCAATGACAGAATCGCTCCTTGCCCGCATCCCTGAAGATGAAAAAAGCATCTCTATGCGGTCTCCCGACTGAAATCCGTTTCGATATCTTCTCACATCTCATGAACACCAACAACGTATCCACACCATATTCCTACCCGTTATCTCCACAGGCGTCTTTCAGCAAAAGCGCCCACTCAAGACCCATGCCGCTTTCCTCATAAACAAGCAACTATCTCTAGAATAGCTAAAAGATACTACGAGCGCACAAACTTCCACTTCGTCCTCGACTAGAAAAATGCGTTTTGTTCCGCACCGTCCTTATTCCTCCTACAACTGAACCCCTCAGTTTCAACAAAACCTAACCATTTAGAACATTTCCCTGAAACTAATTTCAAGCCTCCGCTATTGTACCAGAAAATATCAATCTCGGCGCCGTCACTTCAATCCCACAGTCCTCGCACTCGATTTCCAAGGTGATGTGCTCGGCGACTGAATCACAAGCTTTTCGGTGATAAGGGCACAGAGAACCTCCGACATCTTCTTCGAAGAGCATTTCCAGTCGGTTGTTAAGGCTTCCATCAACGTAATTCCGCAGTTGAGGAATTTACATTTGGTCTGTGGAGACTACGGTGTGGGCCCTGAATAAGGTGCATTTCGCAGTGATTGCAGCCACGAATCGCTGGACCTGGGAGAAGCCTGGACAACCATTTGCGGAGTATTTGAAGGGGAGGCGTTCGTTGATACAAATGAAGATTAAAGGACCGGAGATGCATGTTGATACAATACATCATACAAAGAGACGAATGGGCGGGAAGTGGGTAGAGTAGTAAACAGGCGACAATTATATAACAAGGACGAGTCCTTCAAAATTCGAGGTATCCCATAAAACAAGCTATCAAGCAATCAGTATAGATTTTCCTCGATAATTCGGTGATTCCTTCCTAAAGAACATCCAGCATCTTATCCTCTCATCAATCTCCTCATCCTCTCCAAACTCCTTTAAACCTTCTTCTCAAGATCCACCTCCACCACCCCCTCAGTATCACTCCTCTCTCCCGGCGCCAGCACCCCTTCAATCTCCAATCCCTCTTCCTTAATCGCCTCGGCCTGCGCTGGGCTTAGCTCATCCTCATTTAGCGTAATCTTTGGTCCTGTAAACCACTTCCTCGCATCAACAAAATAATACAACAAACTCCCGCCCCAAACTGCGCAATTAATCACGACCGTATAGTTCATAGTCTCGGGTGTCGGATTCGGACCACCAACCGGCATCATCGAAAGCAAGATGCCGAAGACGAGGAAAACGATGGCGACCCAGCCGATTGGTTTGGACAGCGCGCCTGTATAGAAAGGTCCGGGTTTGAATTTCTTTTCACCCCAGACGAGGCGGCAGAATATGGGGACCCCCCAAGCAACATTGTTGCCGGCGACAGCGAGAGAGAAGAGAGCAGCGGCTGAAGCGGGCGCGATGAGACACAGGAGCCCGAGGATTAGGGCCAGGAATACGCAGCCCCAGACTGTGCGGAAGGGAATGTAGCCTAGGCGGGTGGAGATGCGGCGGAAGAAGCTGCTGAAAGGGAGGGCACCGTCTCTACTGAACGCTTTGAGAGTTATTAGGATATGCTATTGAAGAGCGGTAAAGTCTTGGTGAAAGGGTAGAGACAGGATTTATGCGAAAGTGAATTCACTTACCCCAACTCTGTCTGCTAGCAGCAACAAGGATACTCAAACCCATCAGAAACTGGACAATAAAAAGCAAGCTCATCAGGCCCAACGCTCCCTTCTTGCCAACAGCGTCGTAATAGATCTGGGCCATCGGCTGTCCAAATGGAGAGCCGAGGAGGGATTCTATGTCTGGATTGATGCATGCAGCAATCACAATAACAATGATCCACCCAAACAACCAGCAGGAACCGATGGACATTAAAATACCATAGGGAACCGCCCTAGTGGCATTAGCAGCCTCCTCGGACATGTGAACGCATGAGTCAAAAGCACCAATCGTCCAAATAGGCGAAAGCCAGGAGAGAAACCACGCCCATCCAGTTGGCCACGTAGTGAGGTTACCAGTTGTTGCGAAAATGTATTTTCCGTTGTTTCGCTCACTGGCTCTGCCGATGGGCAATGCGATGACTGTTGCTGCTATGAGGATGAAGTTCGCTACGACGAAGACGGTTTGCAATTTCCCCATCACCTTCGATAATGTGGAAGCTAATACGCCATGGAGAAGAACACAGCACATGAACACAACGTAGACGATGCCGTTGGAGGGTGTCCATTCGCCATCCCGGGCAATGACGATTACGGAGAGGAACATAAGAGCGAAGCCGTAGTCGATGGAGCAGAGACCACCAACCAATCCTATTCTAGTCAGCCTCTAGACTTTGCCCCTCAATTTCTAGCTACCATACCCAGGGTGTTGCTATATCCTACCAAGAAGCTCAAAGCATTTCGAGTTTTGGGCGAGGCGAAATAGTGCGTCCACCAATATAGACCCCCGGATGTCGGCATTGCAGAGCCCTGAAAAATATTGTTAGCAGAACATATCTGGGAGATTTCACATGGAGGCATACCATATCAGCCATAGCAAGTCCAACAATGAAAATGAAGCCGCTGGCCACAAACCAGCCCTATCAAAGCCATCAATCTCTCACATCCTACCTAAGGATCAAGTTCTAGCTCACCCAAACAAGACCAGCAGGTCCAGCCGGCAACGAATACGCAAGTGTCGAAGCAATTGAGGGTAGCAATCCCATAATCGAAAAAGCGATACCTGTACATCCCTGGTTAATTTGTTTCGTGGCCATATTTGAGACCGGGAAGTAAACTCGTACCGAATACTTCGATCATCGTGAAGTTTCTTCTTAATTCTTGCTTGTATCCAAGCTTTGCTGTTCCAATGTCAGTTTCAAGAACTAAATCAATTCATCTCATAGTATTGATCATACCTAAAACCGCTGCATCATCCTCGCTCGTCAGGCCCTCGGCAACCGCAGTAAGAGACGCCCGTCTCTCCGTCGACATTTTGGGTGGGGCTTCTTCAGCCATGATTAACGTTTAATAAAGCTTCAATGATGACGCAATCGTCCTCAATTCTCAACGAAAGATAATAGCAATGGATGCCAACAGGTGACAAGACCAAAGAACTCGTCTTTGCGGAGAAGAGTTCGCGTCGCACACCACCCACGCTTCAGAATGAGACACCCTCCACCTTATGTACTGCATTCCGGAATCCTCAATCCACCCCATCGGTAGCACGTAAAAACCGGGAGATCTCTCACCTGCAGCTCCATGATAGGACAGCTGCCCGCAACCTTTGACACATTTCTCATTCACACACATCTGATTGGATCCCAGCAACGCGACCGGATGCCATATCTTTTCGGTTCTGGGTCAGTTTGATAAGAAGCTTTGGCCGCGCGCACAAAGAGCCAGCCTGCGGCCGCGATTGATACTGCGAACGGTAAAATAATGCAGATGATCGCATGTCTTTCGCATGCACTGCCCTGCAATAGGTTTAAGTTGTGAGAACGGTTTGGTTGGGTGATGGATAGGGCCTGGACTCTTGGACACTGGATAGTGTCCAGGTGCCAATGTAGTTAGGGTTAGGCGCGGAATACGACCGCGAGGGGTAGCGTGGCGTCGCACGAAGATAGACGTGGGGATGATATGCATACGAATAATGGTATCATAGGTGGACGGATGTGCATTACAGAGATGGAGAATGGAAATAGGCATGATGAGGGGCGAGAGAAGGATTGCGCATAGCGTGCGCAGTATTAGCTACTCGTCAGGCTTGGTGAGGCTTGACTCCAAGCAGGTGTGCCTCGGCGTTTCTTGTCGTTCTGAAATCGTTAAAATGTAGGTCAAAGTTCCTATCCTGACTTAGTAGGTTTAGAGAGATGGGTCGAGGGAAGGGAAAGATATCGAGGGATGAAACAGTGGTTTGATTTAGTTAATGAAGTTAGCGAGTGTGTGTTGATAAGATGAAGTGGAACGATACAAGGAGCGATCTTGACTCGTGGGTTGATTCTGATGCTGGCTGGCTCTGACACTTGACTAGGGACGAATATCCGTAGGGTTTCTTCATGGACAGCAGAGCGCTAGAGCGATCTAATCTTGTCGTGATATTAAGTAGGCTCAACTGCTCTGCGAGGTTGCATGAGAAGGAAGATACAAGTTGGATATTATGCGTACTTAGTGTTGGTGTGATTTCAATACATTATCAATGTTGCTAATAACTTATGCTGTTTGCTTTCTACCTTTCCCATACCTCGAAATGCATCTCAGACCCAACTGATACCATATTAATGCAGTCCCTCTAAATTGATCCTCCCCGTGTACCCTCAGAAAGCTTCCCTCAACCCACCTCCCTAGCACTTATCATCACCCTCAGTTCCGCCTATCCTCCTTCCTGCCGCCTCCACATCCTCAGGATCCCTCCCATCCGCCTCCCTCTCTCTCGCCTCTACCTCCTCCCTCTTCTTCTGCGCCAAATACTGACAAAACTTACTCTTCTTCCTTAAGCTCGTCCCGAACCGGATAAACACAAACGGAATCGCACACATCGCAAGACTAAAAAAACCCAACAAACTACACGCCCATGGCACACCTAACGTCCTATACATCGGCTTTGCCGCAAACGGCAACACAGCGCCAAAACTACTCCTCGAAAAACTCGCCGCGGCCATCGCGCTTGCTGCAAAAATCTCATACGCATCGACGAGGTAGTTCAACAGCGCCATAAACAAGCACAAATACCCGATGCCGAACGGTATACCCGCTAGCACAGGAACAATCCAGTGGATTTCTTGCTTCGCGGTCCAGCCGGCCCAGAAGAGCGATAGGACGAAGAAAGGCCCCGCGATGCAGGCGAGAGGCAGACGCCGCATTTCTTCAGATTGGGACCATGGGCGGGAGAGGGTTTGGGCGCGGAAGAGGATTTTGTCCCAGAGGAGGTAGAGGGCGGCGGAGATTAGGGCGCCGATGCCGATGGGTAGGAAGGCGAGGCCTTCTTCCCCCGGGTTGAAAGAATAGATTTGGATGAAGATTATCGGGTAGGATTGAAAGAAAATGTAGAAGATCGCGTCTAAGTGTTTTTTTTTAGTATGGTAAGTTCGAGGATTGGGGTAAGGGAAATGAACTTACAGGCGTAACTGAGGTATAAGCAGGTGAATAGAACCAAGGGTTCGAAACAAATCATTCGTAAAGGTCGGGTTAAGACTACGACCATGATGTGGTGGAAGTCTGTCTTTTCAAGCTCAATCGGCGCGACGATAGACATATCCCCCGTTTCCTTGCGTAAACGTCGCGCGCGGTGTTTGAGGATGATTGGAGCGTATGTTTCGGGAAAGCATAACACGACAGGCCAACTTGCTCCTGCGAATATTGCACCAATCCAGAAGGGCCAGCTCCAGGATACCGGCGCACTGAAACCGGAAATAGGTGGACCCAAAATTGGACCGAAGGTCGTGGCGGCCATGAAGATGGCCATACTGGAGGCCGTTACATTAGTTGAAAAAGAAGACGTAAGGACACGTGTAGTTTACCTTCGACCTAATGAACCGTTAGCTAGAATGAACGACTGACTGGACTTGGATTATACCTCGACTCCTCGGATCATGATAAATATCCGCACAAATGCCTCCTACAATACTAATTGCCGCACTGCCCCCAATACCTGTAAACAATCGAAACAATATCAGTGCCGTGAAATTCGGAGACAATGCTGAGGCAATGGAGAATATAGTAAAGAGTGCGAATGCTACTATCTTCGTCCATTTACGGCCATACGATTCTGAAAGGGGTCCCCATATGAGTGGCCCGCAGGTGTATCCCACGAGGAAGATGGACGTGGGCAGAATGAGCTGGTATTCATTCGTGTTGTGGAAGTGGTGTGATATTTGGGTTGTAGCCCCGGCGGCGAGAGAGGAAGACACAGTGGAGTTCATGACTGTTAGGATTGCCGTGGAGAGAGCGTAGATTTTCTTCCCCTACATCACGTATCTTGCATCAGGAAAACAGCCAACCTTCATATTTTGATGGGTTTGAAATATAGCGTACCTGGTTCCAGTTATTCGGCTGCGCAGAATCTCCATCTTCAAACCGAATGATCCTCCTTGGAGGGGCTTGCTGCCCTGATCCTGTTGACGACTGTGCCGGTGAGCTTTCCTCTGTCTCTTTTAAGTCATCTTCCTTTTCCAGCTCTAATTGAGCGTCAACGTCTTCCTCGTTGACTCGTATTCGTGCACTTTCTTCTCCAACTACAACAACACCAGCTTAGTATATGGGTTGCGGGTTTGCAAGCAATGGACGGGTAACATACCTTCGGCTTGAGAAATACTCCTCACCAACGGATGCGGTGTAGGAGGAATCTCCAATTCATTACCGAGCCTTTGCTGTTCGCGCGAGTAAGTTTTCTCGAGATGGGTCGACATGATTCAATCTCAATTGTTCTCTTCAAGCAGAAACTAGAATAAGTTTAAAAAAAAAATGGCGGGATGGAAGTGAGAGGGGAAAGAAGGGCTACCATGACTCCAGACAAGACCACTAGATCACCTTCGGGTTTCCCAAATCAAAAAGCCTCATGATGTGCGGGTTAGTCGTGCCCCGGCGCGGGGATGTGCTCCCTGGTTGAGTTGATAGATTCTGCTCGGCTATGACGGCAATCGACGGTAGTCTGGGCGTTTGGAGGCACTGGAGGGGCTTCTCGAGGGATGAACCACCCATTTGCCGACCGATTTCGGGGAATGGGCTGCGAGAACATTGCCCTCTGGATTGTGAGTGGTGGTTTGTTAGGGTAGAGATCTGAGGGGTGAAATTATTTCCGAAGGCTGAGGACCCGCACCTCAGAATGTGCCTAAATAACGAAAAGAAAGCCTTCGAATCTTGAAAGTACAACGGACATGCGAAGAACTAGACACAGACACAGAAGGAGATTATGAAAATGCATTGCAAAGATTTGGTATTTTGGATATCCTGACGCCATCACCGGAAAACTTCTCCCTTGTGCATATGCACCTCAGGTTTCCAGGTTAATACTTCTTCCGAACCGTGCATACAGTGCGACCTTGAGGTCTTGCATCTCGTCGCGAATCGTACTAAGCCGCTCTTCAATGGCAGTAACCTCTTTGTCAATGTCTTCTGTAGAAGTAGATAGTAGGTCAAGGACTTCAGGTTGTGGGAGTGCGACGAAGCAGTCGCCGATTTTGTACCTATACAATCCCATTAATAATCGCCCTTCGTCCTGGAAGACCGATTAGGTAGAAGAGTGGAGTTAGAACGTACATAACTTTCTCTTCCTCATCAACGAGCTCGAGTTCATTGGAGATTTCTTCCAGATCTTCTTTCTCTTTCTGCGCCCACAGCGTCAATGATGTGACTTGCGATGGAAACATCACCAGCTTTCAGATGTACCTGTTTGAGTTTCAGCTCGTCCTCCAGATTCGTTTCTTTCTGGTGCAAAGTGCTGAATTTGTTGATCTTCTCTTGGTCCTCGCGGCGGACTTCCGTCTCTTCACCGCCCGTTGCGGCCTCCTCTTCTTTGGTAAGCTGCGGCCTGTTAGATCACCTGCAAGATCAAGAAAATTCTTGAGGGTGGCGCACCATGCGACGCTGCATAATTGCGAGATCTAGAATAGTTCGACTAAAGAAAAGAGTCTGAGCGTTAAAAGAGGTGTTCAAAGTGGAAGATTTGAGTTGCTTGGAGGTCTTGGCGATGGTGATGAGGTTTTGGGTGGAGTTCGTGGAAATCTCACCAACTAGCATGCCAAGGCATCGAGAACAAATTTAAATACGCGGCACTTTTGACCACTTATTACAGGGAGACAGTGAGCATAGTAGGATAAGATATTCTGAGTTTATTTACCATTGTGTAGCATATTATTCATATTTCCTACAAGACACTGACTGCGCTGCTTCTGGATATGGTCCAGCCCTTCACTTAACCCGCTCAATCCTGGGGCCTAGCTCCTCGATCCTATCTACCAATTCAGCATTAAGCTGCAAATTCTGTGCGCCGCTTAAAGCCTTCACAATATCACTCTCGCTCTTCTCTCTAACCAACCTCCTTAGCGCATTGATTAAGAATCCAGAAAATATGTCCACAGACCAATCATTGGGGATGATTTCCAGCACCTGAGCAATGTCAAACCAGCCACCGAATCTTTCCAGTAACTCGCCTGTCCTTTCGACCCTCTGGGAAAGATCGTCTATCCTCAGAAATTCTTGGAGTAGGTAGCCGAAGAGCACTGCCTGCTCGTCTCGGCCCGGAATTTCTTCTTGGGGAATGTAACCAGATGACCGAAAAATGCTTGACCCACCGAGTAGGCAGTAGTTTATAGCAGTGTCGAAATCGCCGAGCCCGTGAGTTAATAGCCTGATGGCCTCTTGGTGTCTGCCTTGGCGGCCATTGAGGATGATCATTTCAGGGACAAGTTCTTGCTCGAATGGCTCAAGGCGCGCGAGGATTGAAGGTACGTCGTAGGAAGAGTTGGCTGTCTGATTGCTACCCAGTAACTGTAGAAGACGGAGACGGCTGTCCCACCATTCTGCATCCCTAGAATTTTCCGTTATAAACTGGCGGTATGTGGGTTTGTGTGGATGAAGTGCGCGGTATGTTTCGTATGTTTGGAGGAGAGTCGATCTCGATGCTGCGGAAGTTTGGAGCTCCGTCACAACAATGTCAAGATAGAATGCAATTAGCTCATTGACATATTGGGTGTGCTGCATTCCATTAGCGTTTCGAGTTCCTACCTAGAGTGAGGTTACATACCTTCTTTCCAAACACAAGATACTCCAGGTATTCCTTGACGGCTCCAGGCGCCTTCTCTTTCAAAAGGGCAACGGCACGTGTAGGCTCGAATTTAACTCTGCTGTGGTCGTCTGCAAAGATTTGAACACCAAGCCTGGGGTTCCTGTTCGCGAGCCAAGCGCCATACTCTTCAACAAGAGCTTGGTCTCGTATTCTGCTAAGATACTTCCGAAGCTCCAATTCCCCATCGACAAACTCTCCCCCTTCATCCGGTTCGCCATCCAGAATGCGCCTCCACGTGCCGAGAACTTTCGAAGCCTTGGCTGAAGCTTTGCTATTACGCTGGTAGAATCGACTCAATACGTAGAGTCGTTTAAAGTGCTCTAGCAACTCGATTGCACGATCGAAGCACTCTACCTCGTTATCCACGAGGTCATTTAGTTCTGCTCGAAGGGAACCGGCGGTCGCAGGGCCTTTGGGAGCATCGCGATCAAGCAGCAATAAAATGTGGAGCAACGCTGCATCCACAGATTGGAAGAGATACGGGTCATTCGTGACACTGGCCATGCCTCTTCTTTTCTTCCAGAAAAGTAGATATCGCCGCACCAGATGAAGAAGGTTATCGCCGAAAGGACCATTAACGGTAGTTGGCATAGCAGAAAGATCGTTCTGGTGTAAAAATTGTTCCACGAGCGTAGTTATTCCACCAGAAATCTGGATGCCGTCCGGCCCTTGGATTACCTCCTTATTCAAGATCGGAAGTAGGGAGAGAATTACCCGTGGGTCGACTTCTCCATCCACTAGCGATTGCTCAGTGATGCGCTTCTCGTTTTCAAATATGATGATGTTTGTGCTACTCCGGAGAATTAACTCCATGAAGAGCAGTATCGAGGCTTTCTGTCGGATATAAATGAGACTGAGGTATTCGGATTCATTGCGAGGCTCTTGACCACGTATATCCCCTAACATGGCTTCCACAAGACTTCGATTCGGCTGAATGCGCACCCCATCGCCGGTTGAGGTAGACTGCGCGTACTCGAGACGTGCATCCAGACGGGTCACCAATGGGTTTCGGACGGCCCACCAGATCTCATTTTTAGCCCATAATACGGTACGAGTGTGCAGCTTGGACAAGCGCGCTGTAAACTCGAGGTCCTCTTTTTCTTGTGTTCTCTTCCCCTTATCACGCTGTCTAGACGATGATGCTTCTTCGGACGACGATATCTCTAAGCGTTTGACCGAAAGCTTATCACCAATCTCGCTAAGGACCAGGTCGTTAGCCTCGACAACTGTTCGTATTCCCAAGGGTATTGTGACCCGTTCTCCATTCTTAGCTGAAGGATCGCGAAGTGAATTTAGGTCCAACCATTCCTTGGAGGCTTCACCTTCACCTGCATCGACATCCCAGCGTTGTATTTCGACGCCATATTCAAGCTGGCCGTCATCCTCGCGATGCACAACAGCCAAAACATAACCTTCTTCGGCTTCCATATCTGGCCTCATTGAAGTTGACATATCAATGCCTGTGCCATCTACGACAATTGCATCAGGGTAGCTGCTGAATTGTATGCTTCCACGGCACATGTCGCCGTCCAAATTTACAAACATGCCAACTCCAGGCTCGGACGGTGTGGTGCCGACAGTCAACAGAAATTCGGTCGGTGATGGCGATGCGACATGTGGCTTAAGTGGCACAAAAGTTTGTTTCTGAGGGGACTCGGTTTCTTCGGCAGTGGTTGATTCTGGAGCTGGAGGTAATGGCTTTTCTTGTGAAGGCGTACTAGCCCTCGGAAGACTTGATGTTCTCTCCGGGTGTTGTCTGTCTGGAGACCGACTAGGTGTTCCAGGAGCAGGAGATATTGCCCTGGATAAGGACTCTGGTACGTCGAATCCGTATCTCTGTCCAGGAGGACGCGGACTTTCGGTACGAAGGGAAGCGGGACCACCAGCGCCGAAGATGCCTAGACTCGTGCTCCGGCCATGCCCACGTTGCTCTTCGTGGCGTGGATGCACGCCTGCAGATGAGACGCTCCTGGAAGGAGGATTTGAAAGTGCGGTAGCGATGTCTTCGGCCGCTCCACCTACGTCACGTGCATCTGGATCTAAGGATGATATTGGGAAAAGACCGATCTTCTGCTGGTGTTCGACGTCCAGTAGGGCATACGAGTGGGAATCCGCGGCACAGGAGAAGTTGTCCCGTCTGAGTGAAGTCAAGCAGCCTCCATACTCGATCGTCCTGAGACTTCTCGGACCCTCCTCTAACACGCGAACCATTCGAATCCTACTCCTCAGACACAGCATCACCACAACCCCGTCATCGCCGGAATCATGCCCATCGGCATTGAGGTCGACACCTCCGACCCATGAGCAAGTCAAGGGCTTTGTGCTTGGAAAAGCTGGGCTCAGTTCGGGCAGCGAGTAAAACGTGAGGGTGTTGTTGCATAGAATGCAGGCCTTATTGACCTTGGGGAGGAGGAGGATTTGCTGTATGCCCACCCCGATTGCCTGGGTATATGCGGGCTGTAGCCTTGAAGCTATGATGGCGGTGGGCTCGGGAGAAGGGTCATTGGGGTGCGGGGGTAATAGGACGAAGTGGAGAATCTCTGAGGCCGAGGTGCCAACGTAGAGGTTGCTGTTCCATACCTCGACACAGGTGATGCGAACGTCGGTAGACTGCCCATCAGCAGACAGCGGGAGGTCTGACACCAGCCTGCGGAGGATGTAGGCGCCATCCTGGGGGGGAGGGCGAGCGGCCAATTGCGCGGACGACGATGGATCTGCCATGGTGAATATGCACCGCCTTCGCCATGGCGGGCTATGAGCGGGAGTCGGGGCTACTGTGCATGGTGGAGGTGTAGTGGAGCCTGTAGTAGCTTGGAGGGAGCTCGCGATCAAGGCCAGCCCACCAATCGGCTGAGCCCGTGCGCCGCAATCATCCCCGGCTGTCGTGAAAGCTGTCTGCAACGTCGACACCACCGGACACACCTACCAATGCCCTGACTCCGCCCCTTCTCCGAGGCCTCTTATGCTTGCGACTTGCAACATACTAGACTGCCCCTCGGCCCGGATCGTCGACCCTGCGAACTACGCCCCAGCGCGCCACAGCAATGGAGGGAGGAGTGGATGCTGAGAGCAGAAGCTCCCTGGATGCACCCCCGGACGATGCGGCCGGGGCCAACAAGTTCCAGACTGCCATAGGGGCGTGGAGGAGTATGGCCGCCTCCATGGTTTGCTGTTGATGCCATGGCTGATAATCCGCGCAGACATCGACCTGACGTCCCTCATTCCCCAACTCGATACCGTTGCCTCAGACCTCGTCGCACACCAGCGAGATGCTCTCACACAGCGCAAAGACCTGGCCCAGAAGACCAAGGACTTCCGAAAGCTAGACGATGCGAGCAAGCTCAACGACATAAAGGCACTCTTAAAGTGTATGGGTCCACCCTCCGCCCTTCCCCAGCCAGGCTAACAGACACAGCCTACCAGAGCTTCATTGACCTTATATCGAACCAGTCCAAGTCTGTACAGGCCGCTTTCTTCCAGATCTACTCTCCCTTGTCCGAAGCCCCCGACCCATATCCCCTCCTCGAAGCCTCCGTCGACTCTTTGGTGGCCGCCGAGGAAACCGTGCCCAAGCTTACCTCTGAGAACCAGCATCTGCAAAAGACCGTGGCGCATCTGACATCACAGTTGGAGGACGTGGAAAAGAAACTCGAGGAGGAACGGACGGCGCGAAAGGCTCTGGAAGACTCCCGAGACGCAAAGATAAAAGAGGTCGAGTCCTCATGGTCGGCTGTGCTGAGCGAAAAGCAGGACAACTGGGAGGCTAAGGAAAAGAACCTAGAAGACAAAGTTGAGAGTCAGGATCGGTTGCTGAAGGAGCTCAAGGCCAGCTATGAGGTCTCACAGAGGCTTGGCAAGGACGAGGAGGCCGAGGGAGAGGCCAGTCGAGGAGCTACAGCTGCTGAGTTGGAAATTGTTAGCTCGGAACTGGAGAGGACAAGCCATCGGCTGGCTGAAGTCGAGGCACGAAACGAACAGTTACGCTTAGAACTAGCTCAGTCCGCATCAGCGCAAGCGACTCAGCAAGTCCCCGTTGAAGATGACCCCGCATTCCTGAGGCTTCAATCTGAGAACTCTTCCCTGCTGCGCAAACTAGAAACCGCCCGATTCGAAAAAGAGTCGCAACGCAACCGCCTCGAAACTGAAACTAGGAGCCTAGAGCGAGAAATCAACTCTCTGAAGAGCGAGAAGGAGGCACTGCGGGAAAAGGTTCAGAAATGGAGCGACTATGAGAACGTCAAGCAGGAGCTTGAAGTCCTGAAGGTCAGCTTACCACACCTATCACCTGAATTTCTTCTCACATTTTGCAGTCAATCGAGTTTGCGACTGGGGACGATGACGACGAAGCAACAGAGATTGCCCTTTCCCAAAATGGCACCGTCGGTAAAGGCAAGGGGGAAACACTGGAACAACTCCTGTTAGCGCGGAATAAGAAGCTGAGCAACGAGCTCACGGTCCTCCGAGTGTCCCACCAAGATCTGCAGAATCGATTAGAAGCGTTGCAGGAGGAACTATCCAATACGAACATGGAGCTCGAAAAGTCTAGGAACCTGAATGAGACACTCGAAGCTGACCTGGAGAAGGTCCAACAAGAGGCGTCTAATGCCTTTGACTCGTCAGCCATGTCAGTAGCTGGGACTTACACATCCCGACATCCCCAATCTTCCTTCCCTGGTGGACGGCGCGGGCGATCATCGCCCACATCCTCCATTATTTCTGGATTCGATCCAGCGCATGCATCCCAAACCACAATGCAAGCGATACGCGCCGGCGAGCCAGTCGGAGGTGGCTCTGGCATCCTCCCAATGGTAACAGCGCAACGTGACCGTTTCAAGAAACGGAATTCAGAGCTCGAATCAGAGCTACAAAAGACCTATCAAACGGTCTCCTCTCTCCGCTCAGAGATTGGAGTACTTCAAAAAGACAATCTCGATCTCTACGAAAAGACACGCTACGTGTCCACCTACAACAGAGGCCACCCAGCCGGTTCCTCAGCCTCGGCATACTCCGCAAACCCCAACCCCTCCACTATCCACGTCTCCTCCGATACTTCTTCCGGTCTAACAATGGACCGGTACCGCTCAGCCTACGAGTCCTCCCTATCACCCTTCGCCGCGTTCCGTGGCCGCGAATCTGCCCGTGTTCTGAAGCGGATGAGCATGTTCGAGCGCATGGTATTCAGAATTACCAGACTCGTGCTAGCGACAAGGACAAGCAGGAATCTATTCGCGGCTTACTGTCTAGCATTGCATTTGCTAGTGTTTTTCATGCTTTATTGGATGGGCACCACAGACATCGAGAAACACACTGCGGCAATGGCTCTGGCGGCGGCTCCGGGGAACCCAATAGGCATGGGCGATAAAGATCCTATAGAGTGGCAAAAGGAGGGGTTTCAGGAAGGCGGATAGGGAATATGGGATAGCAGAGCTGAGGCTCTGGATCATTATATCCCTATGCCTATTGGTGTGGAGGCATGGATTTGGTTGATCGGTCGTTGTGCTTGTATTTGTAGCATGATATCTGGATCTGGAACGGGCGTTGAATGGTGTCTGTCTGGGATGAGCATGATTGGCTAGGTTGGGCGCTTAGTAAGTTGGTCCAAACCCATTCTGTCAATCAGATTTCTCAGCCTCGCTGCTCTTGAGCGTCTCCTGTCAGTGTGCCTTTTATTCGTCATGTTACCCATAGGTCAAATTGCCGCTCTGAGCTCTGTGCACATGGTGTCTTCTCTCAAAGCTGCTATGGCCCCCACTATTCTGGCCAAGCCCAAGAGACTGCAGACAAATTAATTTCCATGTACAGCAGCATTTGTTTACGTACATGTTCCCCATACTTTAGCCGTCGATCTCATCTCCCCGCAAACAATCTACAAGACGAACTACGACATGTACGTCTCTAGATGATGTGGGGTTAAAAGCCGGAGGGGAAGTGAGCTGGCCTAGACAAAAGAAAGGTATCATGAGAGCGCGGCAGTTAAGTTTTGGAGATCTCAGATAAACAGCCAAAGACATGCGATTTCGCGCAGATTATAAAAGATTACTGTTTGAAGAAGGGAGGAGGCTTCGGGACGAGTGTAGCTTCACTCATTGTCGTTGACACCAGCGGTTTATCAGTCCTACTTGTCGAGCAACCTTTGGGGGTTACTTACTTGAGACAATATCGATATGCACACTTCTTCGCTCGTATCAATCGGCCTGTTCGCTGCACTAGCAACCCTCACAATTGCCGCTCCAGCTTCTGAGAATGCGCCCATTGCAGTCAGAATCTCCATTCCCCATCCAGCTCCCAACTAATCCCCCCTCCCTACAGCCGCGCAAGCCCAGCGTAACCTGCCCCATCCCCGTCGAAAAATACTGCAAAACCAAACCGTATCCACCCGAGGCTAACGGTGGCGCTCTGTGGTACATCAGCTGTATGAGCGGAAAATGGAATTGCGTGTACGTGAGTGGGAGTTTGGATAAGACGCCTGTAGTAGCGCAGGCAGGGAATGAGACGGTTTGCGCCGGGCCCGAGGGGGATATGTGTAGTTCGAGTGGGTGTTGTTAAGGGGGATGGGATGGAGAAGCAGGACTGAAAGAAAAGCGTGCAAGTTAGAGGATTTCTGTGTGAGGAACGGCGTTGAATAGCAAAGAAGGAAGAAGGTCTGTGAATTGTAATTTCCAATATCAGAAGGGAAGCATAAGTTGAAAGAGTATTCTGGTATTTAAAGATTACGACTATCCCTAAGATGTCCTTGACTCAGGACGCTATAGTGATCGTCAAGAAGGGTAATATCTATCTACTGTGTTTCGCAGCAGTCCACTCCAGGGACCGCATGATTGATGCTCGATAATCGCAAGCCGTTCCCAAGAATCTTAGAAAGAAAACGCCGACAAATGCTCTGTACATGGATACAAATATACACATAATCCTCTTCAACTTTTGCAAACCAATAGGTATCACTTATCTCCAGAACCAATACTCAGCAGCATACTCAACAGTAAAGTCACCTGTGATCCCATCGCAAGTTTTGGGTGCCTGACCACCAGCAGTGTTGAGTCGATATACTTCCTTATAATCGCCAGTCACAGCGTTGAGCCTCAACCACGGCACGCTTCCCAGGCCATTTGGTCCTGGAGCCGCGTTCGCGGGTGCAGGAGACGACGCGTTCTTCTTTGCCTGGACTTGGCCGTATTGGTGGAGATCCGTGTTGAGATAGAATAGTGGGATGCCTTCGGAGGTGAATTCGTGGTGACCAGAGAGCATGTGTTCTGCGAGTTCAGACGTTGGGACCGTATAGCTGAGGGCCATGGTGGTGACGTCGGCAAGGACGGCGGGCGCGCGGACAGCAGAGCAGGTTACGTTGAAAAGTTGCGCTTTGGCGCCGACTTGGATTGGTGCGGAAGACGTGGCGTTGGATGGGCAGGTATAGTTCTGCGTACCGCGGCCGATGGCGACGTGGGAGAGGGTTAGGCCGGAAGCTGGGGCTGGGAGAGGCGTGGGAGCTGGAAGATGTGTTAGTAGAGGGCTTGTGGGGTGGTTAGAAAGGATATGCTTACCAGTTGGCATTGCCGCTCTACTTAGATCACATGAACCTTCTTCAAGTGCCTTGAGAGCAGTGGCTGAAAGGTGTCGTTTGGCAATGGCGTGTGCTAATGACGGAGCTGTAGGTGTGGGAGCAGCGAAGATTGTAGTGGGCACGAGGGCCAGAAGAAGCGTGAATGTATTTGTGAAGATCATGATGGCGGATGTGAAGGTTGCTTGATGATGTCGAGAAGACGAAGGGATGTCGGCGTGATATTATATCCAGCAAGAGTCGTAATCGTAAGCCCAGGAAGTATCAAGATAGCTTTCTCCAAAAACAGAATCTTGATCTTTTTTCTTCAGATGTTCGTTTCTGAGGGGAAATTTCCCAGGATAGTAAGGAAACAAGAGATCCAGATCTCTCTCAATGAAACAACTCAGGAAAGCGAAAAGAGGAAATCGAAAAGAACTGAAGGTGGTTTGAATGCTACTGAATAGAATGGGATGGGACTTTTTCGAGACCATGCGAGGCCTCTCATATATACATACCACAAGCGTATCCCATTCCAGCTCGAACTGTTGTGTTTATTTGGCGCCACGATCGAGTAAAAATAGCGGACGTCAGCAATGATTGGTCCAATCTCACAGTGGATCTGTGCACGTAGGCGCTTTGGCCTTGGTTCGTTTATTTTCCAGAGCCGCCTTCGAGGCCTCTAGTAAAGTTTTGGTAAAGTGCCCGTGGACGTGCAGCTGTGTAATCTGGGCAGCGCGTCTGGATGCAGGCTATTTTGGGGCATTAAGAAAATCTGAGTTGGCCAAGGCTGGTAGAGTGTTGTGGTGAGAACCTTTCCGCGAGGCTAGTGTATACTTAGAAGATGAGGAATAGATTTGCAATTTTTGGGAGAACGGATTTGGAGCCGAAAGGACTGATGACAGGATTCTGGGCGGAATAAGCTTGTTTTGTCCGTATCTGCTGTCGTGAGCTCTTTGCCCGACGTGCCAAGTTGCTTTCACAGCTCTCACATCACTTCTGCCTCCTTCTCTCTCTCAGAACTTGGTGTTCCACCGCCGCTCAAGTCTTACCCCTCTTTAAGCGTAGTACCAACGAAGTGTGCTCCATCCTTGCGCAGAGCCGCCCGTACCACGTCTTCTAAGAAGTCCCCAGACCCAATGTCGAGCCCGTGTCCAGCGCAAAGAAAGACGCATAACAGTCCACAAGCGGTGATTAGTCTTCGCTGTTGTGCCATAAATAAGCCTTAATATAGTCATTTCCGAGTCAAAAGCGGGTCGAGAGAATGCCAGCTAATATCCCCCGCTCCGGCGCGTCAAACGTGGGCCAATGACGGGCTGTTGGCGCTAAATGAATGCCGTCTGATTGGAAAGGGGATTTTGGAGGCAAGGTTGGCCAGTTTCAGGGTCTGGGGTGGAGAGCGATGAATTGGACTTTGGGAACACCAGCAGTGGTGGGTTGCGTTACTTGCATGTTCAAGGCTGGAAGGTGGTTGTGGGTGGATGGGAGAGCTCGAAATATAGCCACTGCTCTGCCTGCGCGGTTAAGAGAGCTTGCCTTAGCGAAGAAGGTCTTCAGGATATTTTGAGGTTGGAACCTATTGTCCTGTTTTCTTTGGCCGTCTTCTCGGAAAAATAATAACCTTGTCAATATCTTCGTTCTGGGAAGCGCTTTCACGATGATTGAAGACCTGCCGGGGCAGGCATGTACCCCCCTGCCTTGCCTCCGGCTCCCATGCTTCCGAACAAAACACATGGGTACTGTTCTCAGAATGAGCCTCGTTCAGATATCATTCTTAGGCCGCACATGCATGCGCGTCAGGCCTGCCTTAGGTCTGTGGTGAGCTTTTGGCGTGTCTACGCTCGTCACGTCTTCCTCAGTTATGCAAGCCACAACTCGGATCGCTCAAATACTGACACATGGCCGCTTTCATGGTCAGCAGGACAACAACTGCTCTTCTTATGAGTGGGAAAATTTCTTGAAGGATTGAGATCGGCTTGCTTAGTTTCCTTTGCCAAGGGGAGATATTGCCCATTTCTTGGATTATGATTTTTTATTGTGTTAGTATGGGGCGGGCTAGCCGTCCGTCTGAAGCATGAGAAGGATCGCTGATGAATGACAGATATGGAACGCATCGATTCGGACAGGATCAGGGCATCGTCAGCGAGATGGGACCTATTCCCGTTGTCGATACTGATAATACCCCTTCAGGCCGCATTGTGCAGGCCGATCCTTCCAAGGTTCAATTGCCTCCACCTGAGCAGGGCCGGCTCCACCCTTCTGCCCGACCTCAGACATTGCTTTGTAGACTTTCATACCCCTTGCTCCCTTCTTTAGGCTTTGACTCATGTGTATGTCGGCTACTACCTCGCCGACGTTCTCAGCACCCAAGTTTCGCGTAAGTCAATTACTGCTACGCCCAATTGCTAGTAATACTGCATGTTTGTACTTCGGACAAAATAGCAAGGGCGAAGTCAAAGGTAGAAATTAGCATCGAATTAGCGTTTTCCTTGACTATGGGGGAAGATTTGACAGATCAAATCCATCCTACTCAGGTTGAGCGTTATTCGCTAACGTGCCATGACGATTGTTCCACCTTCTCCGTCTCCTCCTCATACCATATTTGCGACGATTGCCATGCTCGCTACTAGAACCCAGCATTTTTCCCAAAGCGGATGCCAGGACCGGCCTCTTGATCGGAAAGGCAGCTTGTCAGAATATTGGGGGTGTTCCAAAAGCGCCAAGGTGCAGTATGTGAGATTAGGAGTGCGTAGAGAGGATGCCGGGAAGAAGCAGTGCGGGGGAGCTGACGCGGTATATTTTGGGAGGAGGGCATTGCGGGCGTGAAGGATTTGGGGATGTGCGATGGCCCCTCGCTCAATCCAGAGCCGTGCAAGATGTGGCTCAGCTCGAATCTTCCCTTTTCTCCCTTCTGTGCCTTGCACTTCTCTTTCTGCCTATTACAGGCCCCTCTTTAGTGCCATCTACCTCCTTATCTTTGGCGTCTTTAAAGTCCTTCTTTGGCCAATTCCTCGCCAGATCGATACGAGATCTGGGCGCGAAGATCTCGAGGCAGACGAAGAGCAGATAGTCTACAATGACGCACAAGCAGAACAGCTTCCCAGCCCAGATACCGCAGCCGTAGTATCTCTTCAGTCTTTCAATCAAGGCAAAGCTTTGAACGCCTGCGCGTCCTCGGGTAGCGCTCCACCCGCCTCCGGCTCCAGCTCCCTGATAGAATTCATCATGGCTCAGCACTCCACTGATCCCATCATACACCCTCTCAGTCCGCTGAGCAACATCCGTCCAGGAATACATCTGCTTGACTTGGTTATGGAACAGCTCTGTTCGGACTTTCCCCGCTCTTAAAGCTGCGATTGCACGCCCGGTGGCGGCCACGATGTCATCTTCCTCTGGCTTTGCAAACTCGGTCATATGACGCGGAAGTACTTCGGGAATGCCACCTACACGGGTGCAAACGACATAGAGCCCACAGGATGCGGCTTCGACGATAACCGTACCAAACGCCTCTGTGAGTGATGGATGTAGGTAGATGTGACCCCTTACCATAACATCTCGAACTTCCTCATGTCGAACAGGGCCGAGGAGCGTGACTCGGTCTTGCAAGACGTTGCGTTCAATCATCTGCTCCAGATCTATTGCTTTCGGGCCCGTGCCAGCGATTATGAAACGCACATTCGGGTTGCAGGCGAGAATGCGAGGAAGAGCGGCTATCAGGAGGTCGGTGCCTTTGTTGTAAAACAGTCGGGAGATTACGACTATGGTAATCGTATCATGAGGACCGAGGCGAGGTGGAGGGCCTGGGGCATCACGATGGTGTGAGCTATGCGAGGAAGTATGCGACAGAGGTCGGAAGTTCTCTGCGACCACTGCGTTTGGTATCACAGAGACCATTAGGGGATCTAAGGAAGCTCTCAGAACCGTGTTCTCTTTGCTATTATTGGTCAGCTGATGCTGCACATTCGGTCTTGTACGCGTACCAAGTATGGCTGACACAGATGACGTGGTCCACATCGCTCAAGGTGAACTTCAACAACTTGTTTGTGAGGATACTTGCTGCATCGGCAAACCCAAACAAGCTATGGTCCGTGAAGACGGTCCTCAACCCCATTGTTCGAGCATGCAATATCGCCTCATGACACAAGCTACTCAGACTCGCGTGGCCATGAACGATTTCAATCTGTTCGCGGATCACGATGTTCCGGAAAATGGGGAAGAAGGAGAAGACGGTTGGGAATGTTGTCTCGCGGTAGATGACGAAGAATGGAACATGGTAGACTTTGAGTCCATTGGTCAAGTATCGGACACCTGTGCGGCCGGAATAGGCATGCGTTATGATAATTACTTTGTGACCGCGGTCTATGAGTTTCTAGTGAAGTTTGTCAGCAAGTTAACTATTGAAGCGGTGGGCTAGAAACTGACAGATGAGAGCTGATACATGTGGCTTTCCACTCCTCCTATTACCGATGAGCAATATCCTTCCCGCGAAGTAGATTTCGGGAGCCATACCAGGTTGTGGAAAGAAATTATCACTGATCATCCTATCGCAAGTCAGGAAAACTGAGGGGTGAATGAATAGCCATGGTGGTCTTACGCGATGTTGTAGGGCATGTTGACGGGCTTCGAGGATGACCTCCTCGATTGTCTGCAATATGAGAATACATGACAGACCGGTGGGCGACAATTGGCGAGCAGAGCGACCAAGAGAATCTTTACACCTGATGAGTGAAGCTGAAAGGGTACGGGATCGCGCGTCATGGGGTGGTGATCGGTGTTTTGGAGCTCCGTGAAATCTTGGCATGATCTGAATTTCTTGAGCCATCTCGAACTCGAGAAGCTCTACCGACACCGCCAGAATGCCGGCGCAACTCTATGCGCGGTGGGTACCCCCCAAACCAGTATCAAAGGGGTCGCCCATCTCTATACCGAACCTATTGTCAAAGCATAACATCACCAATGTGAGCCCCCCCGCCAGTGAGCAAAGGACTGCACTGGAAGTCGAGTCCAACGAGTCTCCGAAGTCAGGCAAGAAACACAGCAAGAAACGGAAGAGGGAAGGGGAGATTCATGGGAATGCTGGGCTGGAAGACGACACTACGTCTAAGAAGCACAAAAGTATATTCTCTAAATTTGAGAAATCATCCAAAATATCCGACGCTGCTCGAGGTAGTGTGCACGATGAGCCAGAATTATATCACTCAGAAGATCACCCTCCGGAGGAACTCCACGGTGAGATCTCTTTGCCCCTGTTCCTCTCTCCTCTCTGATTGGGCCTAGACTTGATTCCTCTTCCTCAGCCTGCCCCCGTCCCTGAAGTTCCCTTTGAACCCACTTTCTCGATATTACCCAGTTGGCTTGCAAACCCAATTACTGTCGATTCAGCGCATACAGTTCCATTTGCCAAGCTCGGAGTACACCAGGCTTTCGTCAAAAAACTTGAAAAGCAGGGCATGAAGGACGCACTGGCTGTACAGTCTGTTTTGCTCCCCATGTTACATCCTGGGCTTGATCAGCATTTGGGCGACATCTGCGTTTCCGCTAGAACTGGATCTGGAAAAACACTTGCTTACATGCTTCCAGTTGTGGAGGCTTTGAAGGATCGCGTAGTGACTGCATTATCTGCACTCGTTGTTGTTCCTACGCGACAGCTGGTCGACCAAGCACGAATGGTCGCCGAGGAGCTTTGCGCGGGTACGAAACTTAAAGTTGGAACTGCTGTTGGGAACGTGCCATTTTTGGCTGAGCAAAAGTTACTAGTCAAACGGAGCGCCAAGTACAACCCAAAACTAGCAAAGGATTTGCACGAAAGATCTTCTGACCAAGCGCGGACTGGATTTGTCGAAAGAGGCGGAATTCTCGATGACTTTATGGATATGCCCACCGACCACGTCCCTCACTATGAGTCTCGCGTCGATATATTGATATGTACTCCTGGTCGTCTTGTGGAGCATATCGAATCAACAACTGGCTTTTCGCTCCGATCTATGCGATGGGTAGTGATAGACGAAGCAGATCAACTGTTGAATCAGAATTTCCAGGGTTGGGCGACCACTCTAATAGGCGCTCTACACTGCGAGACCCCGGTAGACTTCATCAATGCCCAGGAAAGAATATGCAAAAACAGAGGTTGGCCAACCAGGAACGATGCTATAAAGATTGTTCTAAGCGCGACAATGAAAAAAGATCTGACGAAGCTAGGCAGTCTAAGATTCAAAAGGCCAAAACTAGTGGTAGTTCAAGATGACGCAGGCGATGAACAACCGCCATTGGCAGCGGACAGCGATGTTTTTGATCTCCCTTCTTCCCTTTCCGAATTTGCGGTTCCAGTCGGTAGCGGGTCGGAAAAACCACTTTACCTACTTTATCTTCTTCAACGACATATCTTCGTGGGCGAAAGCCTACCTCTACCGACAATGAGCTCAAGGAAGAAGAATAAGGAAGACCGCGGGTCATCCGATACATCGAGCGAAGATGGTTCTTTTTCGGACGATTTTAATGAAGAAACACGATCAAATATAGTTTCAGAGAAGACAACCCTGAAAGATTCTAGGAGTCGCGTTCTGGTGTTCACAAACAGCAACGAGAGCGCGTCCAGGCTATCCCACTTGCTTTCCGTTCTTCACCCACCTCTCAAGGATGTCTTGGATATATTAGATCGATCAGCGACCTCCAAGAAATCGAAAAGGCTGCTCGAAGCCTTCGGCCAAGGCAAGATTAAGATTCTCATCGCGTCCGATCTAGCCTCTAGAGGACTGGATATCCTGAATCTTTCACATGTTATAAACTACGACATTCCGTCAAGTATTACGAGCTATGTTCACCGAGTTGGGCGAACTGCGCGCGCAGGCAAAAAAGGCCAAGCATGGACATTCTTCACCAAGACCGAGGCCGGGTGGTTCTTAAACCAGGTTGCAAAGGACGGTGCAATTAAGAGAAGTACTAAGAAGATTCAAAGAGTTGAATGGAATGCTAGAACTGTCACATGGAACAAGAGGAGGACGTATGAAAAGGCGTTAGAGGAGTTACAAGCAGCTGTGGAAGGAAATACGGACTGTTCCGAGTAATGGTACCCATTCCATAGAGTGAATGGGCTCTCACTTATAGTAAGTTGTCCGCGAGTAGATAGTAGGCGCCATGTAGCACCCAAAGTCGCCCAGAGACTCCCAAGCACAACGAATGCTCGTGTGTCAATCGATGATGCAATCTACACTAAGATCCTTTCAGTTTCTCGTTCCATCATCTTTGTTTCAGGCAAGCTCATAACAGTTAGTGCTGTGGCTGAGTTTATATTGCTTACCCTACGAGCTACGAGCTACTACTTACCTGCAGTGAGAGCGCTCCTGAAAGCGCAGGTACAATTGAAGTACATCTGCAAGGCCATGGGGCCAAACTAAGCATTTATGATTTACATACTCGTTTCGGCTTCGAGTCCTCCAAAAGGCAGTTCAGTGCCACCGGTCGGCCCCGAACTTTGCGAACGAGCGCTTCTTGACGGAGAAGATGCGATTTTAGGGTCTTCGTGGTGTTCGTGAGGCCTTACCTTTCTCGTTCAGCCACCAAGAATGAAAACTGTTGCCGGTAATACCGCGGGTTTGGTGTCGCACTACGTAGAATTTGGAGGCAAGTGGCGAGCTCCGGTTTCTGAAGCAGGGGAGATACTAACGAATATCAGCAGCCTGTCAACTTCACGCGATTGTTTGGGTGTCGGCGTCGCCGGAGAAATAGTGATTGGCACGTTCCTGCGGCCTCCTGTGTGACTGGGGACGAACTAAGCGGAGAGCGTTACACCGAGGCCAGCTCCTAAAGGATTGATCACCAATACTTAAAAGCTACGGGAGAGATACATCAAGGATCAGCTCAGTGAGCCTAGTGGGGAAATCCTAGTGTCAAATGTTCACGCGCTCGTCTAACCTTGCCCTGCCACACCATTTTCCAATGCTGTTACTAGGGGCTTCACACTAGAGGTTGCCACAACTTCCCGTTCCTTGATCCCCAACAAATCTTCGTCCTGCAGAGAAGCAGACTAGAGAGCTTGTTCAGGCTTGGTGGTGCTTGATACTATCCATGGGAAAAGGATCGATTGTTAAAGAATAGATAGCCGATCTCGACAGAGGTCAAGTAGTGGATCGACTACAGGGGTGCTTCCGAAAAGGAAAGGTCGAGTCCTTTTCGCCCACGACTCTGAAGCGCACACCGGTTGCGGAGACCTGGTTGGTCTTTTGACTAATGCTAGGATTTGAGATGGAGTGGAACAAAGAACCATTTGTAAGACTGATTGGCCGAACCAGAGAGTTGATGATGCCCTCCAATGGTTGAAGCCGGAGAAAACGGTCTAGCTTCTCAGCTTTCCCGATGTGAGTATAGCTTTGTGCCAATGTGGGACCTTCTTTCGACCACCAACGTTATCAATACCCCCGTTCCCTGTGTTCGCATGTTCGCATGTTCGCATGTCGTCCTAGCTTCCTGATTCTTAAAGGATAATATATGATCGGCACATTCTTGTCCCTTGTCGACCGCTCAATCAAAATCCATCACGACAATTGGCTGGGCGGGTTGGAGCATCACCACTTGGCTATCCCGGCGCACCACTTTGTTTCAACAGGCAATCGCATTTTATCGTCATCGCCTTACGTGCTGAATAGCCCGTCTGTGGCGCCATTTCCGGCCTCAAACTGCTCATTGTTAAGTTGTGCAGGATCTGGGCCTCGGCGGGGCAAACTCTCGGGCGGACCTCCAGCTGTTCATACTGTTGAAATCGTCGTCCTTCGTTGACAGAGTAGGTCAACTGCCGCAAACTTACCCATGCGGTCTCGTTCGACCACACCACCATTTTGTCCTGCATTCGCAGCAGTGAGTGACACCAGGCCCCAGTGGTTGCGGCTCTCTATTCTAGAAGCTTGCTGTTGCCAAGTCAAAGGGGAAATGCTTGATCGTTGTTTCCTGCGGCTTGACTGGTCGGCTGAAGAAGATTGCTGCAACATCATGATCTTTCCTTTGACATGCGGCCAGACTGAGATCCAACGCTAACAGCCGACTCTCGAAACTCTACCCCTTCATTTGCAGTTTCTCCAATGGATTCTTTGGGCCGTGTTTCCCTTCCGGCTGGCCCTTACCCGTGACTACAAAGCGACAGACATTCGGTCCGCCCCGAACCAGCAACAGTGCAGGCAGTTGCACCTTCATTCATGGCTCGCGGCCAATTAGCAGTCGCACAGGAAGCGTTTAATTTATGGCAGCCGCGGCGCTGTGGCAAGATAAGGCGGGTTCATACCGGGCAGCATTTTGATAGACCCTTCGCGTTTCATCATGCTGCATCCCGGAGCTGGCCCAAAGCAGAAGGTATCTGGTCTCACAGCATCCATCTCAACGGCACTTTGTCTCCAACGACGCATCTCGCATTGAGTGGCTGCTGTCTTTGATTGACGTGATCTACCATAGCAGTTCCGAGGCAGGGACGATGTACTCTATCAGGGCACATTACACAGGCAGGTGCACCACTTCCTCCTACCCCTCCACGCCGTCGTGCTGGAGCTATAAAGATGGTCACCGCTTCCCACAATTAAAGCTGCACGAGGTCTTTTGCCTTTCCTTTCATTCACTTCCAGTTCAGTTCTCTGTACACGCTGTCAACCATGCCTTCTCTCGCATCCCTCACTGCCATTATTGCCTTGCTCGGGCTCGTGGCCGCCTCTCCAGTCGATATCCAGAAGCGGAAGACCTTCACCGTCAGCCAGGTTGAGCGAAAGCAATTCATCAAGAATGGAGCCGCCCAGACCGCGAAGACTTTCCGCAAGTTCGGCGTCAAGGTCCCAGCCCATATTCTCGCTGCCGCTGCCGCTGGTCCTAATGGCACTGTTGCTGCTGTGCCTTCGGATGCATATGACAGCCTGTAAGTTTGGGTGAGAGAACAAGGCGCGCTGGCATTCTGGCTGATAATAACTCCAGCTACCTTTCCCCAGTCGACGTGGGAGGTACAACTCTGCATCTCGACTTCGATACTGGCAGTGCTGATCTGTAAGTAATATAAGCTGCTACTACGCCTACTACATGGGATTATCCGCCTAGCTGCATTCGCCCTGGTCTGCTTGTTCAAATGCCGCACATCATCTGCTTGCCTTGACGTAATATACAAGCCGAAGAGTGTTTCATTGAAATGGCAGGGGAGAAAGTGGTGCTCAAAGATTGATGGGATCTTCTCGCCTACACCCCGTATACTCGGGCAATCTGGGAAATTATTTTCCTAGACTCCCGCTTACCGGCAGTTGTTTCGTTTGGACCCTTGCTCCAGCCACAAACATGTCTGCACACCTCCGCATGAATATCTGCTGACTGAATCTAGCTGGTGTTTCTCTTCGCTCCAGGCTTCGGCTCAATTGACGGGTCACGACTACTACAAAGCCGATGCATCGAAAAAGGTCTCAGGGGCCAGCTGGAAGATCAGTTACGGGGATGGGTCTGGCGCATCCGGCACTGTCTATGCAGACAAGGTCGTGGTTGGCGGCGTGACCGCAACATCGCAGGCCGTCGAAGCGGCAACATCAGTGTCGACCCAATTCCAACAAGACCGAGACACTGATGGCCTACTTGGTCTAGCCTTCAGCTCGATTAACACCGTTAAGCCTACTGCGGCAAAGACATTCTTTGACAATGTCAAGGCCAACCTCGCCTCGCCGGTGTTTGCCGTTACCCTGAAGTACCATGCTGCCGGTACCTACGACTTCGGCTTTCTTGACTCTACCAAATACACTGGAGACATCACCTACACGAGCGTCAAAACTACAAACGGCTTCTGGGAATTCACTTCCACCGGATATGCCGTTGGTAGCGGATCCACGACTACGGCTAGTATCGACGCTATCGCCGACACTGGAACAACGTTGCTTTATCTCCCCTCCGCCGTCGTCAAGGCCTACTACGCTAAAGTCACCAGCGCCCAGAACTCGAACACATACGGAGGCTGGGTCTTCCCCTGCTCTACCACTCTCCCGGACTTCACCCTTGTTATCGGCGGCTCTAAGCAAGTCGTTCCAGGCAAGCACATCAACTACGCTCCCGTGCAGACGGGCTCTACGACCTGCTACGGCGGCATCCAAGATAACACGGGCATCGGTTTCAGCATCTTTGGCGACATCTTCCTGAAGAGCAAGTATGTTGTCCACGAGATGAGCTCGACTCCCAGGATCGGCTTCGCACAGCAGGTTGGTGTTTAAGGGCTCGCGAGTATTTCTTGGATCATGGACATTGATGTTCCACGGCGCACCACACATTTGCAAGCATTTTCTTAGTTCTGTGAAACATACCATACATATGCATGGCTGGCTGAGCTGTCAGGTGCTGAAACGGAATGGAATGGCGACGACGGCCGTCTCTGTTAATGTCAAATGAACATATATGAATCACCGTTTGCTCCGCTTTGTATAATTGTGCGGTGCGTGCGCATGCGCGTGGTGGCTATGTCACAGAATTTCCTGAGTTTCATATCTGTACCACGTAGAATCCTGATATCACGACGCTGGCGACGTACGTTTCCGAGAAGCGATCTCGCACAATTCCAAATCACTGCAGTTGGGATAAGACGGTCTCTCCATCAAATTGCTGCGCCCCACCCTGCCATGCCTCTTCAACGGCAAGATATGTAATGAAGCTGGGTTGATTTGAGCTGGAGAAGCTCGTTAGTACCATCTATCCATGTCACCCATGGACGTTTACCCCGCAATCCTTTGGACCAGCGTTCTCTGCCCAGTGCTCGGCTCAGTACTATAGCGGGCTTGGTCGAGAACCCTTGTGTCACTTGTATGTGGTGTGGCGATGTCTTGGTTACTCAAGTAGATACAGGGGTATATGGTGAAAACATTTGTATTAGCTATCATGCAGGGTAAGGATCAAGGTGGGGGCTTTACGTGGGAAAAGGATCTATGGATCTGATAATAAGGTGGGGTCGTTTGATTTTGGGTGGTTTTGATAGAAGGAAGGACATGAGCACATGGTGGGGAATAATGACGGTGGTGGTGGGAACTGTTGAGGTCAAGACTGATATTGCTATTGTGTTATTGTGTAGGAAGTTCGATTAGGGAAGCACGGGATCTAATTGCTAGATTCATCGTGCGTGCGAGTTAGGTTAGGAACCTGATAGTGACAGATGATGCTTCACACGCGTAGGTGGCTGCTATGGAAGTGGTGGGGCGAAACAGGTGCGACAAAGGGTACTTGCTAGACTGTTGCATTCGTTGTGTATGGCACGTATGATCCGCTATGGGCCGGGGCCAAGGTGTCAGAGCACGTGTCAAGCGAATTGCAAGCACAGATGGTGGTGGCATCAGAAGCGTGCGATCCCGGTATATATGGTGATCTAGGTGGTTGGGGTTTCTCATCTGACTTGTTTATGGAACCTCAACCCTTGATTCCGAGGACACCGATGCTGGATTGGAGGTCCATGTGAGTATAAAGACCCCTAGTGTGTAAACGCAGTCCGTTTACACAACAAGTGTTTCGGAAGAACGCTATATTTGTGATCCTGTTTTCCATGACTCCAGGACGTGCCCAGCACACATACGCCACCTATTTTGGGAACACAGCAGGGACCACAGACCGTCTCTGCCCGTTGTCCATAAGCCATTCATTTTTTCTTCTTGTCCTTCTTTTTCTTGGCCTCTCCTCCACTACTCGCAGCACTCCCGCTCTCCCCGCCCATTCCGCCCATCTCCGCCATCATTTCCTGCAAGAAGTTCTCCGATACACCCCCGCCTGTCAAAGCAGGTGAATGCAATGGCAGAATTGTATTCATCTTCCAGCCCTTGGGGATCGCTGGCTCAGGAAGCGGCTCTTGTGGAGGTGGAAGCCCTGCAATCCTCAACCTGAGTGGCGTATTCTTTTGCGTAGGATGTGCCTTTAAGTGCTGGGAAATTAGGATGTATAGATGATGCTTATTCTTAATGTTCTTCGTCATCGGTTTTCCGTCCTGCTTGAGAAGAACCCGTATCCGGCCTGGATTACTCCAATCCTTCGGATGCGTTTTATCGGGTTCAAACACCGTCTGAAGTCCCAAACTAGCTGCTGCGTCGGCCATTTCTCGCGCTAGCGGGTTATCCACAGCGAGCTCGTGCCCTACACGACGTCCTTCTGCGCGGGTTCGTGAAGCATCGAAATAGATTGGGTAGACACATTGGTAGTGTTTTGATTTTTCCCGGTCGGAGGAGGCGCGGACCGCAGGGGATTGTGGTTGCAGCATTTGGGTGGGTATGTTACTGCCGGCAGAGCTAGGGATAGAGGACGCGGGGATGAGGGAGGGGATGTCAGAGAGATCCATGACATCGGGATCGCTGTCGGACTCGCTGACTTCTTCTACTCGGGGATTCATTGCGACTATGAGAGGAACGTAGTTCCCCGGGAGGGCACTGAGTTTGTTGAAGTGGTTAATCAAGTATATAAAACCTTAAGGGCCATGCCACCAACCTTTAGATACACTTGATCCCCTCAACACGCAGGACCAGTTAGACTTGAAGCCCTTTCACGTTATAGTGCACAGTAGGTGTGGCTTTTACAGACCTTGGAATCAGAGCACTGTGGAGAAAGTGGGATGAATTCACGGTTCTTGCAAATGCCAAGATGCTAGTCATGGGCTGTCGCACGTGCTCGGGTATGCCTTCGCTTTGTGCCGACATGTCGGCCCTGAGGTCCATCATCACATCATCCGAATGCTCCACCTGTTGCGTCGAATCTTCTTCTTCTTGAGGTCTCCATAGCGCGAGAAAAGCCAGTAAAGGTTATAGTAATGGGAGCAAGCGTTTTCCATTCCCTGCAAACGTAGAAGTCACAGTGGTGATCTAGGATCTGCATCAGCGCTAATTGCGGCGTAGACTCGCCGGCCTTGCTGCATGCGCCAAACCCTTTCACAAGCTACCGTCTTCATCAATTCGTTTTAACCGTCTTCTTTCAAGGTAGGAATGTCGGTCTATTTCAGGTTATTCAAACAGTGACGTCGGAATCCCCAAAGTTCGGGAACTTTGGATGGATGAATTTGCAAACAAGACTAAGTATGCTTTTCGACCTTTGATTTGTCCTTTGCTTCGTCTTTCAGCTCCTCTTATTTTTTTACCTTTCCTGTTTCGAGGGAATTCGTAAACTTTGATCATGGGACGGACCAGGATGGTCCCAACGGGTTGGTTCGCAATGTAAGTCCTGGTTTGGAGAATCTTTGCTCAGTCCTGTTCCGCTATTCGGCGTTTACTGCCCTATCAAACTCCTTTCCAAGTACAGTCACGGCCTGATATTGTTGCTTCTGCTCGGCATTCTCGTTGCCGTCAGTCATCTCGTCCGAATACATCCTTCCTCGCCGCCAGTTTAGCGAAGAGAAGGATTCCTTAGGCTAGAATCGCGCCACGGTCTTCTCGAACTCGAGGGCAGGGGTCGACCTGACGACCACTATGCCGTTCCAGGCCAAGGCTGCCGTGAGAACCGGTAGTGTGACTGATAAACGATACGTCTTCTCCTGCAGGGAGGATGGCGTCGACGTTGTCGGAAGTAGCTTTTCTTCGCGGTGCATTCCCACTGCGTACGATACCGTCTTTTTCCACGCTTTGAGGCTTTTCGACGGAAGCAACCGCTATGCTATTGCGCCCCCGATCGTGACTCGATGGCTAGAAGCAACGTGAATCACTTCCAATCTTGTGCACAAGCGGCGTCCCTCACACATACCTGGCATGTACTAGCGGATTCGACCTTTAACATCAGTCGAGCAAGGCAGGACATGAGCTACGAGACAATACTGATGATAAGCTAGCGCGGAACTGCGAGTTTCTAAGTCCAGGTCTGGAAGTCTGATAATGGGTGACAGGTCGCCTGTATAAGCATGTTACTGCCGTCAGGGATCGAGTGAGAGCTTTACTACACCAGTGCACGTTGTTCGCCAGCTTCTAGCTTAGACTTCATCAGTTGCTTGCAGCATGAGCCTTGGCAGTGTCGTGGTGGCTTTGGGGGCCGGCATCGGCTCTGTCACTGCCTCTGCCACCCCCTAGATACGTTCGTAGAAACTCACCACTAACAACTCAATTAGACGGGAATATACACTATCTATCATTCGATTCGTTAGAGCGTACTTATCCCTTCGAGCGACATTTTCCGGTTCGGCTGACCTCATTGAGATCAGCTCCGACGTCATTTCTTCAATGATCTAGCCAAGTGCTGATACTATCTTCCGACCCAACAGTTGAAGAACGAATCAGTGCAGGAGACACACGACGGTAAGTGGATCTATCCAGATCCTTTCGGCTCCCGGAACGGGCCGATTCGAATGGACTAACTTCGGTATGCCGAAAATCTGCAGATATGGGTCGATTACGTCCTCCACCGCAGCAACTACCTCTTCCCACACGACCACTACGGCACTCGGTACCGGCACTAGTGTTCGGCGTGGCAGCCGCGACTACGTATAAAATGAGGGCGGGAGACCTAGCCCTCTGCGTTGTCAATTCAAGTTTCCGGTTAATCCATATCAGTGGCAACCCAAATCGTGGTCGACCACCTCGCAAACCCTGGTATCCAACGCGGGCAAATAATCACAGACTACGGTCCCTCTCTCGGTCTTGTTGAAACATCAACACCAGTGCATCTATACAGACTACCGCCACCATGAAGATGTCGAATGTTCTCAATGATGGCAACGTGATCGTGGAAGCAAAAGTCAACCGCGTCAACGGTACACCCAAGAGTTCAATTCTTCATCGGCACATCCACCACGACCCGATAACGGTCAAAGCGGCATCTGGGAACTATCTAGAGCTAAGCGACGGCCGGAAGGTGCTGGATGCCACTGGCGGCGCAGCTGTGTCATGTCTTGGACATGGGAATCAGCGAGTCAGGGAGGCCATTGCCCGGCAGATGGGTGAGGTTTCATACTGCCATTCCCTCTTCTTCGGTACTACAGCAGGAGAGGCGCTCGGGAAAGAGTTGATCAATGGGACTGGCGGAAGGATGGCGAGAGCATTCATAGTCAGCTCAGGTAAGCTTCATTAACCCACCATCCCGTCTTGCTATTGACATAACCAAGGGTCTGAAGCTATGGAGGCAGCAATGAAACTTGCACGGCAATACTTCTTGGAGTTGTCTCCCTCGCAGCCGGCTCGTACGAACTTCATTGCTCGAAAGGAGTCGTATCATGGAACGACACTGGGTGCTCTTTCCGTAGGTGGACATGTGACACGCCGCAAAATCTATGAGCCCATGCTTTTGGGCAACACTAGCTTGGTTTCGGCCTGCAATGCCTATCGCGGCCAGCTCAAAGGAGAAAGCACGGAAGGTTATGTCGCGAGGCTGGCAAAAGAGTTGGAGGATGAGTTTCTACGACTAGGACCAGAGACAGTCTGCGCTTTTGTAGCTGAACCTATTGTTGGCGCGGTAAGTGAACTAAGTCCCACATCACCGAAAGCTGAGAATACGGGTGGATTGTCACTTCATTGTCGCCAGTTTTCTGTTGCAACCCTGATGTCGCACGAGGCTGCGTCGATCTCGTACTTCGTTGGTCGACTGGATCTAATCTAATCTTCACATTGTCTTTGTGGCGTCGCTAGCACTAATGACTAAATAGGCACTTGGTTGTGTTCCTGCCATCCCCGGATACTTCAAGGCTATGAAGGGCGTTTGCGATAAATACAGCGCGCTTCTGATCCTCGATGAAGTCATGAGCGGCATGGGCCGTTGCGGAACGCTTCACGCCTGGGAGCAAGAAGGTATCGTCCCCCACATCCAGACTATTGGTAAGGGTCTCGGTGGAGGGTATGCTCCGGTCGCTGGACTCCTCATCGGACACCGCGTCCTCAATACTCTCGACAAGGGTACTGGTGCATTTGCACATGGTCAAACGTACCAAGGCCACCCAATCGCATGTGCTGCGGCTCTCGAAGTTCAACGTATCATCCGAGAAGAGAACCTCGTCGAGAATGTGAGCCGGATGGGGACATTGATGTCTTCGATGCTAAAGCAGAGGCTCGATGCACATCCACATGTGGGCAACATTCGTGGCAAAGGTCTTTTCTGGGGAGTAAGTTACAGAGAATAACCCCCCACTCTGCTGGAGCTAACTGAACCAGATCGAATTCGTCCGCGACAAGGAGACAAAGGAGCCATTCGACCCTTCGCTAGGTATTGCTATGCGTGTTCATCAGAAAGGGGAGTCTCTACCCCACGCTCCTGCGCAGATGCTTCTCTGAATCTGACATTTCCGCAGGCATCGATCCACCATACAATATCTCCATCTACCCGGGGTCAGGAACCGTGGACGGGAAGAGCGGTGACCATGTCCTTATTTCACCAGCTTACAACGTCACTGAAGCCGACATCAGGCTCATAGTCGACACCACAGCGAGAGTCATCGAGGACTTCTTTGCCGAATTTTAATTCACAGCTTGGATCTCGATTCCCGGATACAAAGGTAGGTAAGGAAGACATGCGGGAATTGAATATATAAAGTAGAGAGGAGTCATAGGGAACGGTGAGTATGGATTCCAATCTTCTTGGGTTGGCTCGCAGGTCAACGTCTGGATTACGACACGGTATCCAAGAAGCCAGATATTCCAGATTTTGGAGTTTGTGCAGTATCATGGTAGTTCCTATGAATGGAATAAAGTAGCAGCAAGTAGGGGTTCATCGGTGCCCTATGCTGCATCTTATTTACAGCATATTTGCGGAGTACAATATTCGGGAATATATTTTCGCGGGATTACTTCAAGCGATGTCCGACTTTACGAGAACAGGTCGCCGCTCGGCCTTGACTTTTACGCATGCCGAGACACGGTATGGCTAGCTTCTCGCAAACCGGCCTGAACAGATTCGGCAGCATGCAGCCTTATTCAGCAAGCCGGGCGGCTGCCCTTGCAAAGCGGGCGAGGCGCTTGCAGTAGAGAGGCAATCACCCACGACACCCTCCTGGGAGGGTGAACTGATGATGTGATGTGAGTGGGTCTTGGAATGCGAGATGGGACATGTTGAATGACGCGCGAGACCGTTACGTGGGAAATTGTAGGGTTATTTATTGGCGGAGTGCGCGTCAGGTAAAAAGTCCTGGATGAGTAATTGCTGAGGGGGTTTCCCTGAGGGAGCAGCAGCAGCAGCAGCAGCAGCAGCAGCAGCAGGAAAAGGCAGCCTAGAGATGAAAGGGCAGTGGCGGCTGGCCCTGATGACCTCACCCAACAGGCCCTCATCAAAGCCGACCGAAGGAAGAAACTCGTGCCTGCGGCGCTCACCTCAGCTCTGGTCGGAAATTTTGCGACCTTGGAGCCATTTTTCTTTGGCTCAGCTTCGACAAAAGAGATCCGAGCGTCCCAGTCCCAGTGTCAGATGTTGCACCTGGCCGTGCACGTGACGCCTGATTGCTTTTCGGTTTCGGGGAGGGAAGGCAGCTATTCACATCTGGCTCAGGAACAGAGACAGGAGCACTTGGGTGGGCTCATCGGCATATCCTGGACGGCGTACGAGAGATCCAGCTATGTTCCAGGGACGTACTGTGTATGAAGGTTTCACTCTTGGCGCAGCCTGTGACATGGGCGTGAGGAGGCACGGTCCGGTGGAGAGGGTTGGCCTGTCTGGGCCTGTTGCGGCCGGATTCAGAGGGCGGGCTGATTTCCCGTTCTTATATCTAGGAGCTCTAGAGCAGTGCCTTGTGCATGGCTGAGCAGCCGCGCAGGCTCTAGCAGTCAACTTGAAGGACAATTGGAAGTCCTTCGAGGAGGAAGGGCGGGTGGCAGGCGAACGGACTGTCAGCCCGGCGGAACGAGGTGGAAAGAGAGGTGCGGAGAGGGCTTTCTTCTACGCTGCGTCTCTGCGGTGCGCAAGCGACCGAATATTATTATTAAATGGGATCCGGCGGCGTGCTGCGTCCTTCTCTCTCGGGTGAATTGAATAGGTTAGCTACTTGGCCTGTCCACCCCAACAAGCAGGTGACGGCCATATTGCTGTCGCACGCTGGGGGCAGCGTTCTGGCTGTGTGCAACGGGCTTCTTTGCCGACCAAAGGCAAAGGCAGCGTTCAAGCAGAGCAGAGCAGAGCAGAGCAGAGCGGAGCGGAGAGCAGAGACAGGAGAGCAGAGAGGCGCGCAGGCAGCGTGTGCCGGAAAAGACGTGTGTGGGCTGTCTCCCGTGGTTGCTACGGCGCGATTCGTGGTGGACCTTGCTTGCCCCAATGACGCCCAGGCGGTGCCGATAGAATCGCGCTAGGACCCAGGACCTGCTCTCACTACAGACTCCGCAACTGATCAGAGAGGCCTTCGCCAGCCCACTACCACGACTCTGTCCGCGCTCTGGCATGTCCCCAACCCGCCATTCTTCCCCGAGTGCACCCTCATCCTCGCCATCGTGCCCCCGCTGCGCTGCCCTGCTCATGCGAGTGCTCGCAGCACCTTGACGCCTGTCTCCACTTCTCTCCCTCGATCGGCTCGCCAGCGATAACGGCTCTTGTTCGCCTCGAGCCTTCGTCGACAGCCTGCTGGAGGCCAAAACTCTGCATCGACCGCGATCGACTCGCAGCCAATTCCGTGTTGGCCCCGGCTCTTTCACTGCCGCGCTCCCTCGCCGTCGTTGTGCTCTCAGCAGCGGAAGCAGCGTTTCAACGTCAACTGACAGACTCTCCCGCCCGCCCACGCCGCCATGTCGACTCCATCCACGGCTACGGCCACGCTCCCTCCTCACCATCAATTCTATTCTCACCACCAAGCATACCAGCCATCTATTTCAAACGGGCAGCTCACAAATGGCTCCGGCCGGATAGCCAATTCGCTCTACAACGGCTACGCTAACAGCACAACGTCAAATTCGGACCTGCGCCGAACCGCGACGGGCCACGCGCGACAGACACAGCAACTCCCGCCTCTTACCAACGGGTCCTCTTCGGACATGAATGCGGGCTCGGACCGCTCGAGCCAGAGAAGGAGAAACCCCGACTGGGCTGATTTCTACAAGAACGGCCTTCCCAAAGAGGTCATCGTGATCGATGACGACGACGAGGAGCCTGCTGCATCCCGAGCACCGCCACGGCCAGTACCGCCGACAAAAGCCCTGGCCAACGGTTCCGTGAAGCATGCGGACAAGAAGCGAAAGACGACGGCTTCCACGGCTCACGATCCCGTATACAACCAGAACACCTCATACTCGACAACCCAGACTCCCTACTACGACTCGCCCCACCACTCAATCTCGACCGACAGGACAACTTCGGCACTCAACACCACAGCCGCAACGTCGCTTGGCTCGCAGGCAAGCAATGGGCAGCATATCTCTCCACTCGAGGGCGGCGTGGTCGGGCAGAAGCGGAAACGCACTAGGGCCGCCGCACAGGACGAGGCCAAAGAAGCCAAGCGAAGAGAACTTGACCACGATGCCGATCCCTTCAGTCTGTATCAACCGCCTCCAAACCCAGTCATCAAAGCCAAGGATGTGTTCGTTCAGGTCGTCGCAGATGTACGAGTCACAGTAACATCCACCCATCACCTACAGCGACTAACCTCGTTACAGAAGTCTTACATGAAGGACCAGAAGGTCGACGATGAAGACGGCCATTACCTTGTGGTTCCCGACGCCGACTTGACTGAGCGATGTATGTGGTATCACCACTCTCCCATAGTGTACCAATCTAATCGATTCAATAGATCAAATCCTGAAACTGCTTGGCCAAGGGACATTCGGCAAGGTTGTTGAGGCCTGGGACAAGCGGAAGCAGACCAAGTGTGCCATCAAGGTCATTCGATCGGTACCCAAGTATCGCGATGCCTCGCGGATTGAACTCCGAGTCCTCTCGACACTCGCGTCTAACGATAAGCACAATGTCAACCGCTGCATCCACCTCCGAGACTGCTTCGATTTCAGGAACCACATCTGCATTGTCACCGACCTCTATGGTCAAAGCGTCTTCGACTTCCTTAAGTCGAACAGCTTCGTGCCATTCCCGAGTTCCCACATCCAGAAGTTCGCCAAACAGCTCTTTACCAGCGTGGCCTGTATGTTCTTCCCCGGGTCTTATTGGCACTTCATGGCTAATTAAATTCTCTAGTCCTGCATGATCTCAACCTGATCCACACCGATCTAAAGCCAGAGAACATCCTTCTCGTCAACAACAACTATCAGACATTCACATACAACCGCACGGTGCCATCGTCATCCACCACCAGTAATCGAACAGCTCGACACCGAAAAGTGCTCCTGGATCCTGAGATTAGGTTGATCGATTTTGGGTCTGCTACCTTCAACGATGAGTACCATTCGTCCGTCGTATCGACCCGTCACTACCGCGCACCCGAGATTATCCTCAACCTCGGCTGGAGTTTCCCATGCGACATCTGGAGTATCGGGTGTATTCTGGTGGAGTTCTTCACTGGCGATGCGCTGTTTCAAACCCATGATAACCTGGAGCATCTTGCCATGATGGAAGCGGTATGTGGAGGAAAGCTGGACAAGGAGATCATCAGACAAGTCTACAAGAACGACAGGGGGTCATCTCGGAACTCTGCCTCCTCGTGAGTACTTATCACCCCTCTGCACATCATTGTTACTAAACTATTATTCGTGCTCGTAGATATTTCAAGAACCAGAAGCTCGACTACCCAAACAACGACACTCCCAAGGCTTCGAGGAAATATGTCAAGGCGATGAAGAAACTTCCCGTACGCAAGCCCCCAAAGACATTGAGCACTATGACTCATGCTGACATGCTTCCCAGGAAACCATTCCCCCCCACACAGAGTTCAACCGACAATTTCTAGACCTGCTGAGAAAGATATTCGTCTACGACCCCAAGAAGCGAATTACGGCGAAGCAGGCCCTGCAGCATCCTTGGTTCAAGGAATCTCTCATGGATGATGGTACCGAAGCGCACAAGATCCGGTTAGAGAGGGAAAAGAAGCTGCGGCAACGTCAAGAGGAGGATCGTAGGTATCGACCTGAGAATCGATTCTGAAGGCCGATATAGTTTGGTGCACGTCGGTGCCATGAACATGTCTCAAAGATTAATTCACCACAAAAATCCGCCACCTTCAATAGACTCTGTGTGGCATAGGGAGGGTTGGGCTTCGTGCTTTGCTTCTTCACATCTTCTGCATTTATGACGGCGATACGATGCATGGAGGACCTTATGGAAAATAGGCTTAAGGGTCTTCTTGGCGTTAAAGAGTTTGCGTGTGTGGTTGTTCTTCTTCAGAGTTTCTGGTTTGGCCAACTGCTGCTACTTCCTCTTCCAGCGCTGTTCGGATTCGTGGACTAGAGCCCCACTCTTTTATGGTGTTCTCTTGTCGACCTTCAAAAGCCTTATGGATGGACATGCATTCTGTCGAGCCGCGCGCTGTGAAGAGAAGATAAAAGATATACCACCTTTGTTGGACCCTTCATGAACACTGGATATTGAGGGGTTGATGAGAGCAGCATAGATGTTCTAGAGGAGAGCACTTGAATGAATGAACTTCGGCTTTGCGCTGGAGCAGTGGAAATGTACCACAAGGTATGTTCGTGGGCATAGGTATAGCTAATGGCATCTCTGCTCAGAGAAGGATCTTGGAACAGCATTGAGGAGGGAGCACACTGCGGGACTGGATAGCTGAAATCAAAAGGTACCATCTCCGCCTTCTCAAACAAGCCCAATCACTCCAATAATAATCTCACTCCCAATCTCGCCTTCAATCCCGAGTGCGCATGTAGTGAATGAGTGCCTAACTAGTGAGTGGGTGGCAAAGCAGCTCCTTGAACCTGCCACTTTGGGGAGACAAGGTGAATGGTCAGTTGTGAAACCATTTGCAAATCAATTTACAGGAGCCATGCAAAGGAGCCCTTTTGGGATGCTGGCGGAGTGTTAGCTTTTGGTGGCGTCCACAAATGCAGGCGGGTGCTTTCGAGGGTTAGTCTTGGTCAGCCCTATGGTTATGAACATGTTCAAGACGACCTGGATCGGAAAGTTTAGCGAGGGGACCCAAAGACGCGCTAGCTGTTGGGGGTGCTGGGCTGCGAGGATGTAAACATGCAACACCTTGATATCATTCAGCAGAACTGCTGATCTCTAGTTCTCTGCTAGAGTGATTCGTCTGTTGGTTACGATTCCACACAGAGCCACTTTATCGAGCACGTCTGCTCTTCTTCCTACAATTCATCCCCACTGCATCAATCCATCGTGACCAAGGAAAAGCAGAACTCGACGCGCCAGACGGACACAATGGCGAATTTGAAACAACAGGAGAACATGCTCCTCACCGAGCATCTCACCTGGCCTCCGATTGTAGGTCTTCCTCCCTTTGTCCATTTCTACTCCTCTAACGTTCGCTCCAGTCCCTCCTCGACGACATAATCAACGCCGTAAACGAAGTTCTTTATAAATGCACAGACACGCTCGAAACAGGGCTTTCGTCAGCCGATCCCTCAGCACTAGGATTCGCCGACCGCGCGGCCGCTGAAGGACGCGTGCTGGAGAAAGAAGATGATGGGAGCGGGGGGCAGAGATTAGCATTTCCAGAGGCAAAACTGGAGATTGAAGAGGGGATACTCAAGTTGGAGACGTTGATGGAAGGCGCTGTGGATCGGAATTTCGACCGCTTGGAAATCTGGACGCTGAGAAATGTTTTGTGTTTGCCGGAGGAGTTGGCGGCTTGGGTGAGATTAGAGCATTATAAAGTGCGTTTGCGTTCATGTATCTGGGGGAAGCAAGATGTGGTGAGACTCAGGGCTAACTCTACTCTGCTTGCTACAGAACCTCACCATCCCGCCCCCCTCCCCCACAATATCACCCGAATACCTCTATGCGCTCCGCCGCAAACTCCAGGAAACCCAAAAACTCCATACCGCGCTCTTGGCGGAGAAAACCCGCAACGAGGCGCTACTCCAGAAACTGCGCTCGCTCGTTCAACCGCCGCCCGCGAAACGCGAACCCAGGTCTTCCACGTCCCCCTCGAAGTCAAAGGATCTGGGTGGAGACGGAAATGCGCCGTTTGCGTTCTTGACGCATACGGGTGCAGCAAGGGATTTAGGCGTGCAGGCTCTGCCCCGAAGCTCGGCGACCACGGGTACAAGTACAGCGACGGCGACGGCGACACCCTTGACTACCAACACGACGTTCACGACTTCCCAACTCCCGTTCCTGCGCTCCCTTCTTGCGACACTAAAACCGCATCTTGCGACCACGGCCCTACCGCTGCATTCGACCAGCGAGAAAGAGGAGTCGGCCAGAGAGCGCAAGATGTATATCGAGAGCCAGAGTAAGCGGATTCTAGAAAGACGCGGCGTGGATACAAGAGAAGGCGTAGAAGGGGTCCTAGAAGGGCAGGGTCAGAGGCTTAGGAGTGAGGAGGTCAGGGGGTTGGAGAGTTTGGTTGAGGGGATGAGGAGGAGTAGGAGTGGTGCTGGGGGTGCGGGGAATGAGGCTTCAGGTGATGGTGATGAGATGGATACTTCCTAGTGGGTGGCTGACCGTTGCGGTTGCTTTGGGATTCATGGAGTTGCAACCTTTCTGGATGGTGGGTTCGGTGGCTGGTATGGCGTCATGTGTTATGAATATGAGAGCTTACGCGTAAAATGAGGACGGAACCACAAGTACGGCTATAAGTGTTTGGTGGTTTTGGGTCTTGGGTTGATACCATTTCGGCGCTGGATTGTGCTTTCTGGTGGGGGTTGAATTGTGCTTCGTAGCAAAGTATCAAGAAACAGTGAGACTAGATTGATTGGCGTTACGAGTCGTGGTCGGCCAAGGGTGTGAAGAAAATATTCGCCTCGTGGACGAACATGTCCAATGCAGCTCATCGTGAGTCTCATGGTTTCCACAAACGCTAGGCACGTACAGTGGGCCGTAATTGAGTAGGGTAGGTGAGACGAGGAATGAACGTAAGAGCCTGTGAGTCACCGAGGTAGGACACAGTCTTCTTTGGAAAGAATGGCGATGTCAAAAGCTGTGCATTTTGTCGTTTAGGAGCCCGAGAGAGAAAACGGCTGTTGAAAGACACAGAATTTTGGGTATCATTAAATGAACAAGTGCTCTTCACCACGTAAAACACGGCTACAACAAGAGTTTAGCACAAAATGGCCACCCCTCCTCACGAATTCGCCAAAGTTTTAACACGCCTTCGCTCCTCCTCTCGTTTGGCTTCCACGTTAGCCAGAAAGTCCATCCTACCAAGATATGCCTCCTTAGTCTTCCCGTGCTCGTCCAACTCTTCGGCAATGCCTTCTTTATCTACATACTTGGACCAGTCATGTCTCGACTTGTCCACGACATTAAGTTTCTGTGCTTTTTCTGGACGTTGTATTCTGGGTGCTTCAGGAGCAGCAGCAGCATTCTCTTGGTCAACATGAGCAATTTTGGTGGTTTGGCGTGGCCAGGTGAGCTGGTGTTCTGGTGCGAGGCCGCGGACTTGTCCGGTGGGGTTTGGATCAAAACGTGAAGGTCGGCGCAGGGGACGACGGATCTTAGAGTGTGACCTTTCCAGCCCTGCACTGTCTTGTTTGGTCTCGGTCTCATCCACTTCTTGGGCTGTGGGCTCGGCTACCTTCCAGCCTTCAGAGAGGTATTTGTCGAGAGATGTGCGGGGAATCTGTTGCTCTTCCGTTGTGCGCTGACCTGCAAACGTGTAGATACGTTTCACCGTAACCGAATCAGTGTCGTCACTCGCATTCGGTGCTGCATGTACGCCGTCCGCGGCAGTGCCCTGGCCTTGCGAAGCTTCTCCATCCTGTGTCGTCGGTGTCAGGGTGGGATATAAAGGCTTCAACGGTGCCGCCGACATCTGAGCCCAAAGAGCATCAACATCAACTGTAGCTCCTTCAGTCCTCGCAAGGGGTCTCCGCTCCTTCTGCCCAACCCTCCTCTGCGCCCTCGTCTTGATCAATCCTCCCTCGCCGCCCTCATCGTCTGAGAAAAGCAGCTCATCCCTTCCTTTAGCTTTCTCTCCTTTCCATTTCTTCGCTTTCCGTTTACGTGCTAATTCTATTGTGAATTCATCTCCAGAATCTAGGTCCTCGGGCGAGGGTGCCTTTCGTTTACCCTTCCGCTGGTCGCGTTTAGTGTTGCCATCTCCTTCGTCAGACGAAGCGGAGGAGTCTTCAGCCGGTGCAGCGGCCGGATTGAAGTCTTCGTCAGAAGATTCATGGTAATTTTCCTCTGCGTCGGGGAGGTCCTCAATTGGATCGATGGGAGCCATAGTTCGGTGTAGGAGAGTGAAGCGGCGCGCCAAGAAATATTGTCCAGGTTTCTGGAGCACGTGATTCCGCCCAGTCTCTGACCAAGCCAGCCATATCGTCAAACATGTTCCACCACCTAACCGGCCCCCCCAAAACACACCAAAAATCCTAAATCGTACCCTGATATCTCAACAGAAACCTAATAAAAATGTCTAATAATCAATATCTAGTGTTTAATAGCTACTTTAAGACCCTTATTAAAGTTTTAGACAACAAACCTAGCCGTCACTAAGATATGAAGTTTCTAGCCTCTAAACCAGCGAAAGTGCTGTTTCTCAAGGTTCGCTTTATAAAATACTGTCAAAGTAAGATTTAATTCTTAAAATTAATATAGGAATATACCACTAAAGTTCTAGACTTTTATTATCAAGTTACTATTGAGATATCAAGGTACGATTTCTCGGATTATTGATGGGTTTTGGGCTAGCCGGCTAGGTGGTGGAACACTTAATTCATTCGAACTTAGAAGCAATTCAGACCTAAACTCTCCTACCTTTTTTGATCGCGCCATTGTGATGTCAACCTTCCAAAAACGGTGTTCCACAAACATAGCTCTACAGAGGAGCACTGCGTTACGCATCGTACCGCAATGTGACACAAAAGCTTACGAGTTTCTCTCAACATTACCCAATACCAATCAGGCTTCTCCTTCATCTTAACGCCTAGCGTGGAATTTAGCAGGAGGAATTCAGGACGGAAACTTTTGATCCTGTCAATATTCTCCGAGAGTCCAGCAAGAGGTTTAAGTAAGCAAAGCTGCCCTGCTACTGTTCCATGTAGGCGCCCATACCCTCTACTATGGAGTGTACAGGAGTGATACGAACCCTCAGCTCACGGGAGGAGGTAAAAAGTGGGAGGGAATATTAATGACCGATGCTCTCACTCGTCTCCTTCTAGGACAACATTATTATCTTTACCCGACGCTTGAGAATTCGAATTACGGTGCTTCGTCGCGATATCTTCGCCGTGACCGAACTTGCTGTAGTTGGTGCTATGACAAGCATCATATCACTGATTGACCCTTACTTCTAGGTTATAGGACATCTTGTGGACTATCGAGCGCATTCCGCGGCTTTCCCAAACACAATACACGGAATCTTTAGTCATGCTCCAGGGACTCAAAGGTGCCTATGATACAAGTGTGGTCGATAAAGATACCGCAACTGCAATTCTACTAACATTCAAGGAGTGCAGTAAAGCGATCCCGTTGTTACAGACTTTTACTCCAAAACGCTACTGTCGTGCCTCAGGATTCATAGAGAACGAGGCAGAGGAAGGCAGTAAATTCCCTATACTACAATTCCGAGATCAAAAGTGTGACCCAAAAGTTCCGCAACACCTGCAAAGATTAGCATGCGTATTGAAACATCCATGTTCTTTCTTAGAAACCTGGAAGGAAACGACGAGTATCTGCGACTGGCTCACGCAGCGGTCGGCCCCTGGCTCCTTTCCTCTCTACGACAAAGCACGGAAGCCCCGTCCCACAGGCTCTAGTACATAGTTTCTAGCCAGCTATCCATATACAGACTGGAAGGAGCAGCCTGACTTAACCAACTAGCTGTTCCTGGATCACTCAGGAACTCTAGGAAGTAAGCCATAGCATCAAAGGCAGAATACTGGCATATTTCTACTTCGTCTTCAATGATGTTCGCTCCCAAAACACGACAGGAATAACCAGGCCTCTCGTTCCGCAGGCTTTTGTCACGGCTAAATGCCTCCTAATGACCTGTGGTTCTAGCAATCACCCCTCTTTGGGCGCATCACTGGATATGTTGCGCCTTATTGTCAAAGAACCTTCGGACAGTAATACTTATCATTCTAGATTCGTTGGACGAGGGTCAAGACATAAGAACTCCTGAATTTTCTCAAATATTTGAGTGGATGGAACCTAGGGAGCCTCCGTATGCTCATAACCTCACGAATGCAGCCGGGTATCGAGGAAACGTTAGTGATATTTATAGCTCAGGTAACTCCATTCCATTAAGAAGTACACGAGTAGACAAGAATATCCAGCAGTGTGATCGCCACCGTCTCTTACAACCGAAGTAGTAAAATCAATCCAGGATCTTCAAGGAAATCGAGAGAGAACTTCTCGCAAAGCTAGAGGGAGCGTAGGCTGTATAATCTATTCTGTGAACCTCTTACATACTAGCTTGCTTGTCAGCTGGATTCGTTGTCGAAATGCTGGAGTAAGAGGGGGTTGCAGGAAACCTCGGCAATGTTTCCGAAAAACACCCGGGTAAGACTTATGAGCGCATATTGTTGAGAGATTGACAAAGATCGCCAGGAGTGCGCTTATTGGTTCCTTATCTGGCTCGCATTCTCGACCCGTTCGCTGCAACTCGAAGAAGCTGTCGAAGTTATAGCCATCGACGTCACCCACAAGCCTGCCTTTCGTGCCAATGAAAGGATTACAGAATCTCAAGATATTTTGGTGATATGCAGTAGCCTTGTTACGATTATATCTCCAAGTTCGCATATATCTCCCACTCAACGGAACGGGGAAGTTTACGATGAAGTTAGACATAGCGGAGACAACGAGGCAGATTCTTTTTTTACCGATTTGATTTTCTAGCTTAGAGAAGGAAGCGAAGTTGGGCTGATGGACTGAATTATCTTTGTACACTTCCCTTTGAAAGAATTCTCGGTATCAGATTGAATTTCGGCTGGGTAGGGGTTGAGATATCATGTGATAGTAAGTGGGAGAAAACGCGGGTACTTGACAATGGAGCAATGTCCATTCAAGGACACCCTTAGGGCGCATAGTACAACCCAAATTGTTTCACTATCATCGAGCGTATTAGGAGTACTGTAAGTCACATCTATGCTCTTCTAACACTCCTTTCTAACACTTTAGGAATGCTATGATGCCATTAAATTGCTACTTTAATATGGAGCCTGAATCGGCGGTGGAAATAACGAAGAGCGAACACCATGTCACCTTGTCACATGCGGGGATGATATCAACACACTGGACGCGCTTCTCGGGCATACGTTTGATGTGAATGTCAGAGGCCAAGATGGGAACACTCTGCTACACCTCGCGGTTTTGAAGGCCGATAACCGTCATGCCGGTTTGCTGATTATGGCTGGGGCTGATCTTAACCTTAAGAACACACGGGGAACGGCGCCTTTACATCTTGTCTGCTTCTTCTAAGTGAACAGTGGCGGATTTTTCGGTCTTAACAATGTTACCACATACTGGAGCAGAAAGACATGGCACCATAATTTTCTTTCTTCATGTTCCTTTCACTCTGACAAGCTTGAATTATATGGCTGGACTTTCAACAATTTCGACGTCACCGATGCAATAAGAACTCTGGTCTGTCGCGGCGCGGATGTCAATGTAAAAGATGTTTCCGGAGACTCCTTTCTTCATTAATGACACTTACAACCTCTCTGAAATGGTGGAGTCACTGCTCTGACAAGGCGTCGAAGTCAGTGCTCTAGATTTTCCCGGGTGTACTACTCTTTCTTGACTATATTGCGGAAGAATCTAGTTAGCCGACTACCCATTAGCGGAAGAACACTTGTTTCTCCATGGCACTTAGCGAAAGAAGCGACGTTCAGAAGGAGATGAAAGAGAAGCGGAGGTTGTTTGAAGGTCACGGTGGGCTCAGCTCCATACATCTGAAGACGGGAGACAAGAACGATGTGCGGATTGATGGCCATTTGTCACAATCTGATTCCCTAGTTCCACTGATTGGGTATTACTGCTCCTTATGGAGCCTTTTAACCCAAGTGTAGGTGGAAATTTGGGCTTTGTAACTGGGCTAGATGCACTTCTCAGCAACTGTTCTTCCTCGCCCAAAAATCGAGCATCGTTCTCCATGCAATGCTTCTGCTGATGTAATAAGCCTTAAACGGTTCACCCAATTCCCTATCCCCAACCCCTGCAAGCCCTCGTCCAGCCTCGCCCTCAACGAAGGTTAACTTTTCCTTTCCCTAAAACCCCAGACCCAAAACGCCACAAAGCCCACTAAGAATAGCGCACGAGCCCAAGCTTTCAGCCCACGACATCTCGATCGGGTCATCCCATCTCGCCAAGCTGAATCGGGGTAACGGACGGGCCAGACCAGAGCGGTGAAAAGGACCTCTACGATTTCCTGAGTTTCCTGGACGACACAAGAGTGGTGGAAGGATTTGAGAAATGCCATTGCGCTATATAGGACAACACCTTGCTAACGAGACGGGACTAAGAGATAAGCATATTGTTTTATCAGACTTGTGCCAGCTCATCACGCTTCTGCATGCATTCCCGAGACCTGTCATCTGTCAGTCAGGCGCATGTCAAAAACGCTCCACACGGACGTCCGCGCCCACGCCCACGCAAACACCATTCTCGTAACAAATTTCGGTGAAACCTACAACACAAAGGGCACGAGAAGCGACAACCTAGCCAAGATCAGATATCATCTTAGCCATAAAAGTCTATCTCGACTGGTTCCTTGATCAGGGAAGCAGGATGCGAGCGAATGGCGTCTGTCCTAAGTGCGCCACTTTGCTCGTTCGAACGTGATTGGGCTGGACTGCTGTACTGCTTTGGGGGCTAGACGAGAGGATTATTTGGGAATAGGGCACGAGAGAGCTACGGGGGAGCGGTTCGGAAAGGCCCGATTTGGATGTTGATAGATGTCAGTCAGATCAAGGAGATTTGAGGCTGAGAATCTGGACTGCATGTCATGACTACCTACATCCAGAACCCGCCCGTCTATCCACAGAATCCAGACACGTCTCAGCACACGCATCTGCCGTCGTGCACGTGTCCTATTAAGAATAAGAGTACTGTGTGTACGTGACATGTCTGAGTCAAGCCTTTTGTGAAAGCTTGCCCGTTGCTTGCATCCGCGCCCAACCAGCCCACCGGCAGCCAGCCAAGGCCGTTGCAATATCAAATGAGAAGTCATTGAACTGAAAAAGCAAGGAGGGTATAATTCAGCCTTTCGCTCCAAGTCATCGACCTCGTTTCCCTATTCCAGTCCCGGAATCTGATAATCGAGCGTTCACTCGCAAGCCGAAAAAAATCAAGTTTCCGTTTAGTATGTCCCTGTCAGAACGCCGTTGTGCTGTGCCAATGCCATGACAGAGCCGCATTTTACGTGCCCATGCAATGTGTTGTGCATGCCCCAAGGGAAAAAAAAAATGAGATAATGACTATCCTTGAGTCCGTGTACGTGATATGGGTGAAGGATTAACAAAAGAGAGTGTATTGTCTTGATTCCGCGGAGGAAGATATAAAATTGGATGGGAAAGGGCGCTCGGGTTCACCTTGACAAGCCATAGCCTGTCACTCAACGCTGCACGCGGGTATGTCAGCCGTGGCGCCCGCTTCCAACCCTTTACCAATCCGAATTCGACTTTTGGTTACTGAGGGCTAGTCAGAATGGCAAGACGATTTCTCCGTGTCGTAGACGTGAGACGGGCAGTGTTAACGCCGAAAGATGGCAATGAAACTTTTTCGCTTCCCGATTTTAGGCGCAGGTGTATCTTGAGGAATAGGAGGCGGAGGGATGTTCGTTAATGGTGTTGTCGTGGTCTGTGCTCCCGATTCCTTAGCAAGCACTTTTGAAGGCTTGCGGTGCATTGAGCCTTTACGCTTGACATTGCCGTCTATTGTGTGTAGCGGAGAGAGCTGGTCGCCTTGTCCCTTCTCGTCGACAGCGACGCCGGAGTCGAAGGGGCCTGGGCTGGGGAGGGGAGGAGTAACGACTGCTCGGCCTGGGTTAATTCGTGAATTGTTCCTCGAAAGCTGGATGCTGCTCTTTGATTTGACGACTGTGGATCTTCTTGAGCTCTTCGTAAGGGCTCGTTTCAGTCCGCTGGTGTGCTCTTCGGCTTGCTGCCGCTCAAGTCGTTCAACCTCACCCAAAATAGTCACTCCGCTCATGGCTAGGCTGTCCTCAGGGATGGGAACGAACCTCATAATCCCCCGTTCCAATGGTACGCCGATAGACTCAAACATGAAGGCTTGGATGAGAGCGGCATTGCGTTTGTTGGTCGTGGGTTGCAGTTGGATCGGAAGTGCATTGATAGTAAGAATGTACGTTGGTTCAAACGAGCCACCGAGAAGAAGACAGGCAGAGTGATTTACTGTGATCATAATAAATGATTCCGGCCGTTGATACCGCGCTGATAAATGGTGCGACAAGTCCGTGACCAGCGTGTACTCGTCCTTAATCTTCTATCTGTAAGCAACATATTTTGGGGGGGAATAATCTTGGAATGGAAACGCACGATAACGTTAGTGCGGAGCTCTGCAATAATTGGTGCATCCTTAGTCACACGCTCGCGCGCCGACGACATTGAGTCGTCCTTGTACGCGAACTGCTCCTCGTAGTACTGTGTGCGCCGACGAGAGCTATAGTTCTGCTGCCGTTGGCCGGGGGCGTCAAGGGCCTTCTTCTCGCCAGGAGCGCCGCGACTTACCGGCCGCGTGTTGCGAAGATCCTCGAAAATGACGCCTCGCTCAGAGCCGTGAACGGATTTGGGAGAGTCCTCGAAGGAGAAGGTCGATCGTGAGGGTGAAAGTTGATCTCCAAGAGGCTCGGGAACTAGCAGGGTGGCTCCCGCCGGCTTGGGAAAAGCATTGGCAGAGTTGGTCGACGTGGACGACGGGCGGGACATGGTTGGGGTTGAGTTGTTGACAGAGTGTGGCATGCTGGCGTAAATGAAATGCAGCAGTAAAGTGAAATACAGGATCCGTGCAGAGTGAATGACTGTTTGTGATGAGGAGGGGGGCCGGTGAATTTCTCGGCCAGAGCAAAGAGGATCTTCGAGCCGCAAATATGGATAAAGTTCGTTCGTGCTACCCGCAGGAGCGCGGACCTCAATGTGTTTGGAATGGAGTTCTTATCAGTCAGTCGTAGGGTAAGCCGTCTTCGTGTCCGATGAAAGGGAGGAGGCGTAGACACGGGAGGTTCTAGTCTCAGTGATCTGCGGGGCGGAATGAAGACCAGCCCTGAGGAAGGTGCAGCGGAATCAGGGACGTCAGGTGAAAATAGTTGGCGGGCTCTGGCTATTGATTGCGCTGAGGCTGCCAAATAGCGGACCACTATATGTATATTGAAGCGGCGATGGTTGGAGAGCTCCGAGAGAGAGCCAATACCGCACACGACCGATGGCTCTTTGAGAAGCACCTGCAACCAGGGTCGCCTCTGGGCTGCCGCCACAGCAAGCGGATCTAGCGTCGATGGTCGTCTGGCGCGTCCTGTCTGGACAAGGTCAGACATGGTCATCCACTGCCCTTATCTGTGTTGGGCGGCATCGACGTGCGTGTGGCTGTCGTGGCTTGCCGCTTCGAGCTCTGAAGGGCAAAGCTTATCGCAACAGGTCGTCCAAAGCCCTCTAGCCATCGACCACCATCGGCCACTCCACGGCTCTCCGGCTCAGCCCAGCAGCCATGTTTGCGAAGCTGAACTTCGCGAGAAAGATATAACTTTAGACCTGTATGCGCAGTCTAGCCTTAACGCCACGACTCTCCCGTCGCCGCGTTGAACAATGTACGCGCCTGGTGCAAAGTGCATGTGAAGAAAAGGAGAAAGGCCACCCTCCCATGCCTGTTCCTGTCCACCCCATGTCGTCGGGGCAGCAGACATATCTGCAAGAAGCCATGGCCTCCGACAGGAAAACCCACACTCGGGCGGCCTCATGTCTGAAAGCACTCGCGACACGAGGGCAGATGCGCATTTGAGGTACCTAAGCCCCAGGCCCCGACGACGAGCGAACGCCCCTCGCGCCCGTTTCTGCTCCCCACCAACATGCCACCTTACTCTATGGGGACGAGAGACTGCTCCTTCGGCTTTATTTAGCCTCAGACGTGCCTAGAGATCTCTTGACAACCTCCTCCTTGGGTGCTTGGTGTGTACTCTGTCATCCGTATCCTTCTAAATCCTGAGCGTTACGAGTATTGCCTACTTCTACCACCTACCGCTCGCAGTGAAAATGCGCCACTCTCACACGATACCCCTTTGCCGCTCAATGGTCATCTGCACCGCGGATTTCCGGAATCCGCCAGGGCTTCACGTGCGACTGCCCGGGAGCGAGCCGACGGAGGACGACATATCAGGAGCCAACCCCGTGCTCCCTTAAGTCTTGGTATGTAAAATGAGACCCGCGGCCTCATCTGTTGTGCGAGGGAATGCCGTCTTGCTGTATCGACAAACGTACTGTTTTTGGGTCACTCGGTCACAGACTCTCATGGTAAGGAGGCGATGCCCCATTACGAGCGAATACTTGGCGGTACTGCAACCATGCCTATAAGACATTTACCCTCTCGTAGACTAAGCCTCGCGAAACTGCCGATGGGCAAGCACAAGACCGACGTTACTGTAAGAGGGAATCAAGGGGGAAGCAAAAGGTTCTCGAATCCAAATAGAACATCCGTTAGCAATTGCCGTGGTCCGTGTTTTAATGCCTGCGACGAGTCTGCACGTACGACCATCTCCCGAGCCGAGCCAGGCATGTCAGAACTCTTTTCAAGAGATTGCATTTTACTGCGAACGGTTGCGGAACGTTGCACTCACTACCCTGCAGGCGCACAAATTGCCATCAATAACAACCGTTGGCTATCGTTGCTTGCCAGGTGCTGGTTGATTTAAACACGAAACAACCCAAAATTGCCCCCCAACGCAAATGATTTCTCCAGGAAATATTGAAGTTGTTGGTCCTTTGAAGTAATACACACACACAGCCACCTAAATACAGTATCACCATGCTGAAACCGCCTAAGTCTAACACCACCCGCTTCAAGCTAGTTTATGTTCATTGCTAAAGCTTCAATAAAGGAGATGGTATCCGGGGTTGTTCCGGCAGTCTTCATAGGTTCAACTAAACCAAGTAACCTTAAAGAAATCCAAGGTGTCGGGCGGCGAATCTAATAGAACAGAAAATCGATGCAACTATCGTTGGACGATGACTGTCGTGTGACGCGTCTTGAGAATCAACAGTATTGCTGGATCTTTCCAAGCCCTGGTAAAGATTTTCGATCCTCAATCGCCTGAGGAGTTTGTCAAGCAACATCTTATCCTTCACTAGTTAATGCATTGAAATCACAGTTAGTCCGCCTTAAGAAAGCTTGCTAGCGAACACCTACGATTTCTGATGAATTTCTAACTCTCAAACTCTTTGGTCAATTAGAACTTCTTGTAGCGATAAATCGAATCTTAAGTTTCAGTCGGGAGTCCTGCTTTCAAAGTGCATTTCCCACCCCGATTCCGGGAGGTTGGAAGCCGAACTGAAAGTTACCGATAAATGCGCCATGGACAGTGACATGTTGATGCTAAGGACAAGGGTGTTAACCGGCTAAGCTTCAACGGCGAAATGGATGGCATTGAGAAGCATTAGACTGGCGATGGCGACATCCGTCGGAAGCACTCCAACGGGAGCGTCTCAACTGCTTCCCCCACACATTTAGTCTATCAAGAAAATCTTCAAAACGGATCCGGTCTTCTTATTCATACATGGCTATTCTTGATTTGGCAAGGCAGCTCCTGCAAACCGATGTTGTTAGACGAGACCAGTGTCGAAGAATGAGCTAGAGGATTGATCTAGATGGCGCATGAAGAGGAAAACTCATGACGTCGCAAGGATGAACGGGTGATCTAGATGTTGGTATAGAAATGATCGTGAAAGGAGAATGCTCTAAGGGAAGGAGCAAGAGAGCAGACCACCTGGGTTGGATCTTTGATGCATTGTAGGGGCAATTCTCTGTTGCATGCCGAGATGTAGAAGGCATACTTGAGTTAGGTATTGAATAATTCTGGAAGGCTGTGTGGTGGTCCAGCGGAAGAGTGTTGTATAGATGTGGAGCCTCTGGGAGAGCCATGATTCATTGAGAGGTACAGGTACTGGTAGATAGTACCTTGGCCTGGTTACAAATTCTGTGGTGAGCCTCATTGCCATATGATTTCTTGATGTGAAAGCGCTGTGACGATAAAGGAAGAAGGATTGGCTACGAGCGCTTTCCTCGTTGATGTCATCATTTGCATAGATCATGTGATGGCGCGTTTGTGCAGTGGCCTTCTCCAAACACCACGCCAAAGCGGCATCTCCACCCATTTTCATCCTCCACCCCTAGCCTAATGGCAACCTCAAATTCTGCCAGCATGCCACGAAAAGCAGCGAGGCCTATCCAGCGTAAAGGCCCTGCCTTTAAACCTCCGCGGCCTGTCAAACAATCCGCGCACGCTTCCAACCTAACCACAACAAAACTTGCACCAGGCCCGGGCGCACCCCGTTCAGCCCCTCCGAACAGGGGCATTGGGCCATCACGGCCCGGTGCTGAACCCACTACGACACTCATCTCATCTGATTCTGAGAGCGAAAACGGAGATGCCCTCTCGGCTTCAGATGGTGACGAACCCATGGAGGACGTGACGGATAACGGAGGACAACGCGCTTTACCGCCAGCAACCGAACTATCGCGAGACCCCATACCACCGCCGCTGCTCGTCAGAATACTACACGAAGGATTTGAGGACAAGGATATCAAAATCAAGGCCGGCGCGATGCATCTCGTCGGGGAATATATGAATATTTTCGTTCGCGAAGCCATTATGAGGGCGCATTTCGAACGAAACGAAGCAAACAAGGCAGGCGGCATCTCAGATGATTTCTTGCAAGTTGAGGACCTGGAAAAACTGGCCCCGCAGTTGATACTGGACTTCTGACGCGCGGGCGAGATCAAGTCGCGCTGGAGCAGTTCAGGACGGTTATGCATTTCGTCGTAGCTGATATCGGACTGGTGACATCTGCAGGAGAATATGATTTTATGGCAGGTTAGAGCTCCAGTTTTTTATTATGAAATGTATATCGCGCGGGACTGTACTCCTTTGGTGATGTGGTGGGGCGGACAATATAGCTTAACTCGACGAAGGATGCAATTGGTCATTGGCGATTGCCATGAGAAGCTTGAGAAAATCATACCAAAGTGGTCGGAGATTCTTAGGGGCAAGCAGGCCGCGTGTCGTTTCAACAGAGATTGTCCTCAGTTCGAAGGGATTCAGGCTGCAACAGTTCTTAGCTCGCCACAGCGAAGAGTCAAATGAGCAGAGGCCCACAACCCTCATGTCTGTTTACCCCATCAGATGCGAATTAAGATTGAAGGCTTTTGCCATAGCTGTCGGCCGTCACGATTCGTTGAAACATCCTAACAAGGGATGCAGCCGCCGAAGCAATGTCAGTCGCCTCTGAGCATGGCATGAAAACAAAACTGAAAGAGAACGATTCAATCTCGCGAATGGGCTTTCCGAAGGTCATTCAGCGCCGGTCTAGCCCTTCCCGGCGGGTGTGATGACTTCCCGGCGGGTGTGATGAAATGCACAGGATGAAGCAGCCTCAAACACTTCCCAAACACGGGTGTGCTTCGCAAGCTTGACACTTTGACCCAACCTTCCCCGAACGTCAAAGAGTCTCCTCTTGAGCAGAACTCAACGATAGCACTTCGAATGCCGTAACATAAAATAGTTTAGAGTATCTTGACTTTTACTACTCTACAAACCTAACCTTTGCCTTCAATCCGGCTCGCAATTCATTGCGGACCTTGCTTAGCTTTGAGCGCTTGCAGCTTCAACTATCGGTTTTCACGACAACCGAGCTGGTGGCTGATGCACGAAAAGCTTCCGACATGTCGCAGATGCGGTCGCCATGCTTCGGAATTTAGTTAACCGCCTCAACTCTGTCTCCGCAGGGACGCACTAACCAGCTTTGCACGCTCTCTTCATGCCTTAAGAATACCCTTTAGCCATGTTGTCAGGCTCGATTTTCCTCTTCTCTGCATCATACATTCTGTTTGACTTTCCTATCGTCTTTCTCTTCTTTTACGCCTTCTGGTCTCTCAACTTCACTTCTTAATTCATCTGGCAAGTCCAGTTTAGAGCGCTAGTCGCCGACCCTTTTCAGTCCTCAAGCCATTCCTTTCCTATAATATTCAGTCGCTCATTTCGACCGCATCCACAACATTTCAAAATGTATTTCTCGAGATCATTCATGGCGTCCGCCCTAGTCGGCTTCGCAGCAGCAACTACACACGCCGGAGCAGCATCAACAGTAGCAGCGTCGGAGTCTATGGCAATGCCAATGGCAACCGCAGGAGCTGCAGCTGGGATGGTTAATACTCATGTCGTTCAAGTCGGTGGAGCGAACGGCTCCCTCGTCTTCTCTCCTTCCAATGTCGTGGCCGAGCCTGGAGATCTTGTCCAGTTCCAGTTCAACGCCAAGGTACTTTTGCCAATTTATATCAAGTAAAGTCATCACTGATGGGTCGAATAGAACCACTCCGTAATCCAATCTACGTTTGACCAGCCTTGCATACCTATCCAAAATGTCATGGCGAACAAGACGGACGCCTTTTACTCTGGGTTCATGCCTACCACCCGAACGATAGCGGACAACAAGAACGTTCTCACTTATACTGTTCGCGTCATGAACAAGACTCCTATGTGGTACTACTGTGGTCAGGCCAAGCATTGCCAGGCTGGTATGGTCGGGTCCATCAACGCGTACGTGGAGTTAAAACCCTTGACCCGAAAGCAAACACTGACAGACTTGTAGTGCAACATCTGGAAACAAGACCATCGAGGCTTTCAAGGCTCTCGCCGCATCAGCCTCTGAGGTCCTCATTCCAGGTCAAACGGTAAGCGGCAACGAAGGGGCAACACCATCCGGAGCAGCTTCATCCGCCGCGGGAGGCGAAGCCGGAGCTTCCGCAACTGCTGGTGCTGGTGGCGCTGCCACTACCTCTACTTCGAACAACCCGGCTCAGCAATCGACCAACGCTTCTCCAGGCCGTCTCTCGGATTCCACCAGGCAGTCGTTCCTCGGCCTTGGTCTGGGTGCCTTTGTTTCTTTCCTCGTCCTGTAGAGTTCCATATACTATTCGACAGCGCTTTACCCGAGATCTGGGTCGGTGGGCTAGATGCAGACGAATGAGACGATTCTGTCACTGTGATACCATTCTGGAGGACTGGCTTATGATAGCCAAGATATTATGGGAGGGTTATGGCTTGGGGCGTCTTCTTTTCACTTCGCAGAGATGACATGTGCATATCATGGGCCATCATAGAACTACGCAGTAATAACAAACTCGAATATTGACCATCCACTCATGCCCTGCTGTGACATTCGCCGTCTCTGAGCGACCTATAGAAATTGATTTCGCCTACTCGAGAATTAGATTATTTCTCTCTAAGCTGTCTTACAATGGTTGCCCTAATTTGTCTTATTCTTTTGTGTTGTACCTCATCAACTAAGTGCATCTGAACAAGAGCGCTTTGTGGTTTCCAATAAATCATTCTGAAGGTCGACGATTGGCTGAGAATGATATCCGGACCCTTGACTCGGGCGTCTTGGCAGGCACGAATTGCGTCACATCCTACTGAGTTGTCCTGCAACTTCTAACTTTTGCGAGCGATCGAGAAAGCCTCACGGGTTTCCCTGATTTTGGCCATGGACGCTGGTCGTCCTGCATGTCTCCACTTCACCGACCTCAACTTTCGACCCTTCACATTTGTGGTCGCGACGTCTAGCCCTGCATCTCTCAATCCTCAAACCTAAATCCATTTTTTAACCCTGGGCACTGGAGATTAGCTGTAAAGCCCAGGTATCGCAGTCTTGCAAACTCAATATTGAGCCATTATGGAATCTGCGCAGCACACGAACAGCGTGCGCTCCTTTCGCCTTAGACGCCATGTCCCTATCATTCGAATTTGCTTCACTCTCATTGTGCTGTCAGGACTGCCCCTCGTAGATGGTCTCCACCATATGTACCAAAAGGCACCACGCAAAATAGATCGTCGAAAGGAACCCATCACGCCCCTTCTGGTCACGAACAGCTGTCCGGAAACGATTTACCCAGGGATTTCGACTCAATCTGGAGACGGACCGAAAGATAATGGCTTCAAGTTGGAACCGGGGAAGACATACAACCAAACTGTATCCGAGGACTGGCAGGGGCGAGTATGGGGTCGCACTAATTGCTCTTTTAACGACGAAGGAACTGGCCCGAAAGATGGTGGTCCGAAGGCTTGTCGCAGTGGAGATTGTAATGGCATCGTGAATTGTCAGGTTGGTGTGAGTGGAAACCCCTCATTTGTCTGGCGCGTAGCTCCGACATCAACTTAATCTTTTACATAGGGGGACGTGCCAGTCTCTCTTGCAGAATTTACGCTCGATGCTGGAGACGGCCATACCTACTACGATATTTCATTGGTCGACGGCTACAACATCCCCATGGCAATAGTTCTGCAGCCTTTGCAGAACGCTAGTTTGGATGATATTCCACCCAACCTGACCAATCCTTCATGTCAGGGCACTGTTGGACTCTTGCGGGAGAAGGGCTATGATCCGTATTCTAGTGGATATCAGGTCTTCCTTGGAACCAACAGCAGCTATCCACTGCCTTTCGAGCAAAAAGTCGATGATGACCAAGTCTCAAGATGGTGCCCATGGGACCTGCAGCAGGAGCCACCCGAAAAACCAGGCGATGGCGTTTATCCCTACCCCGACGATAACATTCAGAGACCTGCATTCAATCCTTGCTATTCTACCTGTGCAAAAAATAACAAGCCTGAAGACTGCTGCACCGGAGATCACTCATCGCCGAGTACCTGCCAACCGAGTGACTACTCGAAGGCTGTCAAAGCCGTCTGCCCTGACGCGTACAGCTACGGTAAGTTGAAAGATTTACCTCTCTTCATATCAGACAGGCTTCAGAGTATGGTGGCTAACTATAGTACCCTGCAGCGTTTGATGACCAGACCTCTACATTCATCATCCCCACGGGTGCCGGCTTTGAAGTCGTTTTCTGTCCCGGAGCTCGCTCAACCAACATTTTAGCAACGGAGTCTGATAAGTTGCATCAGCTCGCCGAAAGTGGGCATGTCTCCAAGAGCCAATCCACGATGATGGAAAAGATCAGGACGGATGTGTTCCGGCGGAGTGGTGCGATGCGGAACATCCGATTGGATGGTACCATTCTCACGGTAACTTTCCTGATGGCATGCATCTTGGGGTATGCGACGATCTTCTAAAATGCAATGCAGTTCGGTCAGAGGACTGTGCTGAAAGAAGAGTGATCAGAGTTTGATTTTGGAGTGAAGTCCCGTCTTTCTTTCAGTCGAGCAGTTCTAGATACCCTTATCCTCGCTTCCAACGTAGCATTCATCTATATTCATCGATTCGTGCAACCAATCACTATATGCCATGCGTCGCTCAGATCTTTTATAGACAGGCGAGGTCGCTAAATACAGGATGCATCATGACGATCTCCTAACCGACACGGAGAGTACTTCACCGCACTTCTGAGTTCATTCGGTTTAAGTGCTGCTGCACGGGGCCCACCTCATCCATCTGACAGAGCATCATGTCCTACAGAGGACCGAATACCAAAAACAATTCGAAGATACGACAACAAGCCTCCTTACGTCGTCTAGAGCTTGATATAAACCGTTCGCAGCAGTACCATACTTCGAAAGATGAAGTCCTTGAGCGTGTACCTGGCTTTAATACCCGGCTAAAAGAACCCACAAGCCACACCCGTCGTCAAAGCACTGGGAGGGTAAAATGTACGTCAACACATCAGTCTCTAAATCACTGAGCGAGTGGACCATGGGACGGGGAGCGGGAGACTATGCAGCATGCGTGCGCGTGCGCGTGCATTGCTCGTTGCTGCATCATTCTGTTGCACTCCGTATGTCGTTAAGAGAGCAGACGTGTTGGATCCTTCCGTCCTGGGACGAATGGAAGTGCCGGGAGATGGCGTCGACGAAGCGGTGAGGTAATTGTCGTGCGGAGTCAGCGTCGTGTGATCGTTGAGGCCTGCTTCTATATGTCTTGAGAGCATATATTCAGGGAGCAGAAGGAATGGTGAGGTTACACAGCTTTCCTATTTGGGATAGAAAGCATCCCGCGTGGGGGGAGGGTTAAAGCTGGCATGAGTTAAGAATGATTTGGTTGTACCACGTCAGGCACCAATCTGATCTCGAAGCTTTCCAGAAATGGTGGAAGCAACGATGCTATTGGTGCTGTGTGGAGGAGTTGAGGCGTGTGATGCTGTGACTTTGTGCTTCGTGGCTGGAATCCTTCCCTGCTGCTTCGGAATGCTTCCATGGGTCCCAGCGATCCCCTAGCCAACTCCGCCCACCACTTATCCACTACGTTTTGTTCCACCGGCGTCCTCTGTGTGCCACAAGCCGCCTCATCGCTGTCTCTGGGTCACGGAGCGAGCTCTCCCGTCCTCATCGTGGTATTTCTGCGTCTCTGACGTCCCGCTCGCGCGGCGCGTGGCCTCATCGCGCGGCTGGGCCTAGTCTAATTTTCCGACGACTCCACCGCCGCAGCGTGTCACTAACCGTCTTGGAAACGGACCTGTCTGGCGTGCACCTTTTTGTATCAGAAGCTCCGCAGCTCATGGTAGCACAAACTATCTGGATGGAGTACAAACGGCCTCAATCGCTCCGGCCAAGTTGACGGCTCTGTGCGGTGTCTGAGCCGACTAATTATTGAGCTATATGTAGAGAAAGGGTCCTCTAAGCTCGAACTTGAAAATGTACCTCGCTGACCCCGCCGGATTTTGCACTGAGAGTTCCATCTGTGGGTTTGAGTGCCGCCGAGCTTGTCATCCAACATCAGCATGGCTCGAGCTCTGTCTGTCCACCACTTGGTTGAGGGTTGGTCCTTCAAGCAACTTGACGACGTAGACAACAATGCCTGGCTTCCTGTTGCAAGAGTCCCTACTAATATTCACCTCGACCTCATCGACAATGGCAAGTACGTCATCACGTGGGGGATGAATTTGGAAATGCATTCATGGCATGACTGACAACGACGCCTGCATAGAATTCCGGATCCCTTTTTAGGATTTAACGAGCTCAAGGCCGAATGGGTTGCAGACAGGGCTTGGACATATAAAGTTCATCTTCCGGATCTCGGAGAACCCCTGGATGGCGCCGTCACCTTCCTAGCTTTTGATGGCTTGGATACTTTTGCAACCGTCAAGCTCAATGGAGAGGTAGTACTCGAAAGCGACAACATGTTCATCCCCCATCGCCTCGACGTCACAAACCTCTTGAAGCCAGGAATGGGTAATGTACTCCAAATAGACTTTGCTTCAGCACGATTACGGGCGATTGAAATCCGTGAGGCCCATCCGGAGCACACTTGGGTTGGATTCAATGGCGATATGTCTCGCCTTGCAGTTCGGAAGGCGCAATACCACTGGTGAGCTGGACGGGACCTGATTATCTTCCTTTAGCATACTGATTGCATCTAGGGGTTGGGATTGGGGTCCAGTCCTTAATACCTGTGGTCCATGGCGCCCAGTGCGGTTAGAAACTTACCACGCCAGGATATCCGATCTTCGCATTGAGTATGCCCTTGACGATAGCCTCAAGTCTGTGAGCGGTACAATTGCGGCGAACGTTGAAGGGCAGCTAGGCACGAGCGTCGCGTTCGAGGTTCACAGTGGCGATGACTTGGTGTTTAAGGAGTCTGCAGATGTCAGTGACGGGGTGGCCAAGGTCCAATTTCATGTGAATGATCCCAAGCTGTGGTACCCTCATGGGTATGGCGAACAGCCTTTGTACAAAGTGACTGCAATGGTCTCGGCGGGCGACGTTAACTTGCATCAAGCGACCCGACGAACTGGTTTTCGAAGAGGAGAACTTGTCCAGGAGCCTGACACTATAGGCAAGACCTTCTTCTTCCGGGTCAACGGTGTGGACGTCTTTTGCGGCGGCTCCGATTGGATTCCTGCCGACTCTTTCACTCCGAGGGTGACGGCGGACAAATATCGCAAGTGGTTGGAAATGATGGTGGATGGCTACCAGCTCATGATTCGGTACGCAGCTTATGCACCGCGACGTGTACCCCTTCGACACCCAACTCCGCAACATTGCTAACCGAGCCATTAGGATCTGGGGAGGAGGCATTTGGGAGGAAGATGTCTTCTACGACCTTTGTGATGAACTCGGAATCCTTGTGTGGCAGGATTTCATGTTTGGCTGCGGAAACTACCCAGCCTTCCCGGATATTCTCCAATCAATTCGCAACGAATGTGTCGCCAATGTCGGCCGGTTGCGGCATCACCCATCGATCATGATCTACGCGGGCAATAACGAAGACTACCAAGTGCAGGAGCAATTCGGTTTAACATACGATTACGAGGACAAAAACCCGGAGAATTGGCTCAGAACTAATTTTCCTGCGAGATATATTTATGAAAAGGTAAGCGCTTATGCTGCACCGCCCTCGGCCAGCCCTCAGCCGTTCTAACGAAGGATCCTCGATTAGCTGCTGCCCGAGGTCGTTGAGGCAGAGAGCCCTCATGTGCCATACCACCCGGGTAGCCCTTGGGGTGATGGGCTAATAACGTCGAATACCAAAGTTGGTGATATGCACCAATGGAATGGTGAGAAAGCCCCCTGATCTGGAATATGATATTGAGTTTCGGAGCTAATATTTATTGTTAGTCTGGCATGGTACGCAAGAAAAGTATCAAATTTTTGACACTCTTGGCGGTCGCTTTAATAGCGAATTTGGGATGGAGGCTTTCCCACATATTGATACTATCAGGTATTATTGCACGGATCCTTCTCAACTGTATCCGCAGTCGCATATGCTTGACTTCCACAACAAAGCAGATGGTCATGAACGACGAATCGCGACATATTTGGTGGAGAATTTTAGGACTCAAACAGACCTTGAGGTCAGTGTTTGATATTTACCTAGTTGTTAATAATAATATCAACGCTAAGCTAAGGACATGGCAGGCATTTATCCACTTGACGCAGCTATCTCAAGCCGAGGCGTTAATGTTCGGATACCGTGGATGGCGCAGACAGTGGGGCCAGCAGCGTTTTTGCGGAGGCGCATTGGTATGGCAACTCAACGACTGCTGGCCCGTCACATCGTGGTCGATTGTGGATTACTTCCTGCGAAAGAAGCCAGCATACTACGCCATGAGACGCGTCTTGGCTCCAATTGCTGTTGCAGTCAAGCGTGCACATCATGACTGGAGTGTGGTTCATGCCCGAGTCCCAAAGAACAGCGATTACGAAGTGTGGGTTGCGAGCAACCGGCCGACCGAATTGACCGCTACGGTGGAAGTCCGGTTCATATCTGTTTCAACAGGGAAGGATATTAAGGAAAAGATAGTCAAGAAGGACATCAAGATCGTTGCTAACGGGACAACGGATGTCATGTCAGGTTCGATTGACAACATGAATGAGGAGCCTCACATTCTGGCCGCAAGGATCTGGATCGATGGTGAGATAGTGTCGCGCGACGTCGACTGGCCGCAGCCTCTCAAGTACCTTAGTTTCGAGGACCGCGGTGTCGAGGTGTATTCCAAGGGCGACACAATATTGGTTAAATCATGCAGGCCAACAAAAGGGCTGGTGTTTGAGGAAAGAACAGGCGTGCTCGTACACGACAGTGCCATTGACGTCGTTCCGGGTGATGAACAGGTTATCAAAGTGAGGGGGCTTGCTGCAGACGATCCACCACTCAAGTGGACATATCTGGGCAAAAGTTGATGCAGAGACTCACATGATGTGCTTGACGCAGCGCCGCACCGCTGGCTGGGGAACAAGAAGCAAATACAGGAGGCAGAAAAGGCAGGACTCAGGAGATGGAGACGCATGCTGACAGACAGACCTGACCCACTACGGTCGCGATACATGGCACGACTCGCAAAAAGCCAGCAAGCTAGCGCAACGGCTGGCTGATGAGGGTCTCGAGGGCTTGCGGTCGGCTGCACGCCGCGGTGATCTGACACTGGGAGCTAGGTGGTTGTGGGGGAAGGATGGCGGATTGCACTATAAGACAGGGTATGGGTGAAGTGATATTGGAAGGGGGGTATATGTGAGGACTGCTATTACATGTCAATAAGGTGCCTGGCATGATATTGAGAGGACCGAGATGGATGCTGTGTGGGCTAGCCAATGTGGGGAGCTGCCTGAAGAAGTGCAAATTAAAAACCTTGAGCAGCATTCCAATCGCATTCGTGTCTGGCTTCTGCGACTGTAAATGCGTAGTGCAGGCGTGCGGGAGGCCTGTGACGCGATGCTTTGTGAGCGCTGAAGACCCGGGAGCCGGAAGCCGTCATGGCATATATGGCGGTCGTGCTGTCGGCAAACGGGAAGAGATGCCCGCAAGGCTGGCATGGCAGTTGACGGGCGGGAGGACCACCAACCAAGCGTTATGAGGCTTAACATATTGTGCTGCCGCGATTCGATGCTTGGAGATGGCGTGGCCGCGATCCGCGTGGTGAAACGACGCACAGTGAATTGGCGCGCCCATGGAACCTTGCTGGAAGCCTTCTCGAACAGTGTCAATCTCGCTTGCCTATGGTTGCCCAGGCCCCGATGGCGGGCGTTTTGTCAGGAAATCCATCCGTCCCAACGGTCGCCTCCAAGACCGCACCGCACCCTCCAGCACCCTATCACCCGGGGGTGTAATGCGGGGGCTATTGCGACGACTACTTTAGCATCCAGCAAGCACTGGAGTGCTGGGCTGGACTGCACAGACACAACCGGCACAGACACAGGCTGCACCGCACCAGCCTAACCAGCCTGAACAGAGGGCACAACCGCCATCTCCATGTGCTGCTGCAGCAAGTCCCAAATCATTATATCAGGCCGGATATCCCCTTTCCATGTCGTCTTTTCTGTTGACCTATTGACCTTCCCTCTTGGTTTCTCATTCCGTCACTTGCCACTTTATATTCCTGAGACTTGTCACTCACCAGCCTGCTCGCCTGCCGAGGCATGTCATGTATGACCAGTTGACCCCTCAGCCTCCGTCTTCTCATCAGTGTTCTTGTGCAATTGCGGCGCAGAGAAATCGCCTAAAACATGTTCCATACCTTTCAATCCTCCGTAGGGCTGCGCTCACCCGGCGTCGAGAGCGACGGCTCCACTAACAAACCTGCACGCACGTCGGGGTCACGGCGCATCTCGACGAGCAATGCATGCGTCGAATGCAGACGCAGAAAGATTCGCTGCGATGGCACACAGCCGTGTGGCCAGTGTCAGTGGTATCAACACCCAGAAGCGTGCGGGTACTCGAAGCCGGCGCAGAGGGTTGTCCCCAGCAGGAAGTAAGAGCTCTCCTTTTCTCACAATATATGACGTTTGCTAAATGCCTCTAGGCTGGTAGACAAGCTATCAAGCAACATCGAGCAGTACAAGAGCGTGCTTGCGAGATTGTATCCAGCCAAAGACCTCGAGTCTCTAGCCTCTCTGCCCCGAGAAGAACTGCTAGACCTGGCACTCTCTCAACCCGCGGTCGGGTCTACGACTTCACCATCCACTGCGACCACGCAGGCCATTTCGGAGGTCGCGCCTGGATCTGAAGGTAACGACAGTTTAGAGGCGCTTGAGCAAGCTCCCCCTGAAGACCCGTATTGGGACGAGGCACGTAAGCACCAAGGCCGAGTCCAGGGAATCTCCGACGATATCAACGGTCTTTCAATGTCAGTTGACCGACTATCGTCCTATGTTGGCATTTCCTCCATTACCGCAGCCCTCAAAGTCATTGTCAGGTGTGCTCCGCAAGCCCGACCCCTAATTGCGCACAACAACCAGGAGACGGCCCTACCGAGTCGAGCAGGATCTCCACCTCCTGATCTTGCCGACAATGATCCCCACGCTTTGCCGCCTGTGCCATTGGGACAAGAGCTAATTGAGAGCTACTTCGAGAAAGTCCATTTGTTCTTCCCACTGATTGAGGAGCGCAAGTTCTGGACGACGTACCTCTATGGCGAGCGGAAAGACTCGCCTTGGCTGTCATTACTGAATATGGTTTTTGCTCTGGGGTCACTCGCGTCATCCACGGCAGACAACGAGGCGCATTATGTGTACTTCAACCGCTCACGGCAACACCTAAGTCTAGAATCCTTTGGGAGTGGAAACCTCGAGGTACTGCAAGCTTTAGCAATCATGGGCGGATACTACATGCACTACTTGAACCGTCCAAACGAGGCGCACTCTCTCATGGGTGGCGTCCTTCGAATGGCGACTGCGTTGGGTCTGCATCGCGAGTACTCTGATACTTCGAAAACAAATCCTAGGCATCTTAATATGATGGCACCTGGAGAGACGGACTCGATATCCCCTGAGATGAGAAGGCGCATATGGTGGAGTTTGTTCTGTTTGGATGCGTGGGCTTCAACGACGACTGGCAGACCTTCCCTAGGGAGGATGGGTCCATCAATCACTGTCCTTGCCCCTGGGAAGATCACAAACCCCGTATGCTTAACCTGACCCCCGTTCTCAATATACATAGCTGACATGGCTTCAGGCGCACGTACTACCTCAACCAAACAGCCCTCAATACATCGAGCAGCTGAAAGTCTTACCTCTGGTTCACGCTTCTGAGTTCTGTAAAATTGCGACTAGGATTCAAGATCGGCTTGTCGAATCCCCTTTGCTCACTCCATCCGAAACATCGGCCTACGACGCAGAAATCATTCACTGGCACGACGAACTCCCTTCGATTCTCTCAAACATGGACGAGTCATGTCCAGATTTCCTCCGCCGAGTCCGTTTTGTCATGAAATGGCGGTTCCAAAACATCCGCATTGTTCTCCACCGACCAGTTTTACTGAGCACCGCATTGCGACGCTGTCCATTCAGCGCTCTAAGCGCGGAAGAGAAAGTTGCAGTCGGCAAATGTCGCATCATTGCCGCTAAAACAATCGAGGACATATCGAACGAGTGTCTTCCCGATCTCGTTTCCGGCTGGAACGCCGTCTGGTTCACCTTCCAAGCATGCATGGTCCCACTCGTCTCCCTCTTCAGCGACACCAGCATGCCCGACGAAGCAGAGAAATGGCGCGCCAGCATCGAAACCGCGCTCTCCTTCTTCGAGCGCAGCAAACCCTGGAGCATCGCCGCGAAACGCAGCATGGACGCTGTCTCCCGCCTCTATGAAGCGTACAAAGTCCAGCTCTCGGAGCACAACCTGCCCGACCACCACCAACCTCATCCCCAATACGCCAGCCATAATGTCGCCGGTATGGAGGGCGCCTTTGACTACAACTCCGTTCCGGATGTCGCTACTTTATCGATGAATCCCGGTGCGTGGGGCGGCGAGCCAGGTGCAATGGGCAACCTGAGCGGCTTCTGGGACGACATGATGTGGGATACAAACCTCCCTGATATGCTGGATACGCCGTTTGGCTTAGGTAACGATTATGATTTCCAAGGTGCAGCACAAGATTCGGGTGCGCCTTGCTGGATGCAAGGCAATTGAGATTCACAGATGATGCTTACAAGTACAAGTCGAAGTGGGCGTTCAGGTTACACAAAGCATTTGGATCCGGTCGGTTGTGTTCGGAATATGTACTCGCGGAATCTGGGTCGTCTGGGATTGGCCACTTCGGCGGAAAGGAATAGGTGAACGCCTTCCTAATTCGGTCGATATGAGAAAGAATTCTCGCCGATGGTGTGGGATTGGCATTTGGGTCGGGCATCGTGAAGAGGGGATCTGCATTACGGGATTTGGATGTTTCATGTGCTGCTTTTGGCATCATGCATTTTGGCTGTTTTTCTTTCTTTTTGGGCATGTTTTGGCTGTTGTGTTGTTTGCTGCATTTTCCCCCTTGCATATTGCGTGTTGCATGTACATTCCGTCGTTCGTTTGTTCATTTGCTCAATCGGTTGTCCTGTATTGCATTGTTACGATATGATATCATTGGGGCATCTCTCTGCGTGTTTATTCCTTCCAAGTTCTTTCCTTGCTGGCTGGCACCTGATCTGATGAGCGTCCGATAATCATGTCAGGCGCATCTGATTCTCGCCTCGCCGTGAGCAGCAGGCACCATCATAGCTGTGCGCGCACCGCCCAAGGGGTTTCAGGAAATATATAGGCATGGATTTTATGGATTTATGTATATACGATAGGGTCGCTAGAGGTTTTAGACAAGGCTGAAAAGTATTCGACAACATGACTAGGAGGGAGATGTCGACCCGAAGTTCCGAAAATCCTGTGCTGCATGTAAGTACTTTACGTATGCTTCAGCTTCTCGCCCACGTATAGGGACCCACTCATCTGGCTTCAAACATAGCGATGCGCTGCCCAAATTCAAGCATGTAGCCAGCTATAACCCGCCATGATATACCGGATGCGTGGGTCTGAAATCCTTCCTCCGAGCTTTTATCCGTTGACTCCTCTCACCCCTCATCTCTCCTCGCCTTAATAGCACACACACACACTCGCAAAAAATCCCTCCACCACCAACGCCTCTTACTCACCGATCCTCTCTGTTTCAAATACATATATCCAGCCTCTTATATCACATTCCCGCCTCCACCTCTGCCTGTGAAGCGCAACACTAGATTCGCCGTCGTAAGCCTCGAAAGCCGGATGTGGAAGGTGCATGCCCTCGACTCTGGAAGAATTCACGGTCATGGGTTTCGCCGTTCTGAACCAGGTTTTGGGCAATTGTGAGATGCTGCCTAATGCAGGGACTGGCCGTTGATGGATCCGCGGTCTTACATTGTAATGTACTAGGAACTCATGGTGTGAGTGCTAAATGACTCAATCATGGGCATGCAATACCTCTTCCTGCCACAACACCCAAAACATATCCTAGATCCAACCAGATAGCTGCAAGACGATCGACTGACTGAGATGTACCTTTATTGGTCCCTGGGACCACCCCTTGCTTTTCTTTACTTTCTTCTTCCTTCTCTCACCAGCTCTCCCGAAATACCAATGCCACAACGCAAAATAAAAGTAAGCCTCATGTTTTCAGCACCTAAACCAATCTTGTAGCCAAATTGCTAGATTCATCTTATATGTCGTGTCTTACTACATCACGGCTTATACATTTGTTCTCGGGTTCTTCGTGTAAAAAGAATGCCCACTCGCCAAACTCGATGTGTGTGGAGGGCGGTGTCTCCTATGTATCTATTCCAATTCGCATGGTTGCTAGAGAGGCTGGGCTGTTGAGCTGGTGTTGAGCTGGTGTTGAGCTGGCTGTATCACTAGGTGTGAGAACACAGCTACCACTTATTTGACGAGATGACTTAGAGACAATTTGGGGCAGGGTTTTTGTGTACAGTTTGGTTAGGAGGTAGCCTACCTTAACTAGCTTCGTATGGAGGAAGAGGTTTCAACCCAGTCACACTCATCCCTCACTTTTAAACTTTAAGACTGCCTAACCTTTAATCGCCTTTTTATAGCAATGGATGGTTCTCCCTTCATTATTCTTCTCAGGATATGTATATTGCGTGGTTGAATGTTTGTATTTCATTGAGCAGAATCAGTGACCTTGAAAGCTTGTTAAGAGCCCAACCAGGAAGTAACTTCCTGGCTCAAGAGAAAGGGAGTCACTTAGAGAAGAATCCACTTGCTCTGTAAAAGCAAGAAAGAGAAGCTAACTGTTGTAACTAGGTAGCTCAGGCTTTCGAGACAAGCGGGTGCTGCCGCTTTTCGCTACTATACTCTCTGGCGGCTCTTAGATCAAATCTAGATATTAATTTCCAACGATCACTTAGACATGCATGGGTTTCCCTGTTCGTTGAAATCTGTAGGCTAGAGAAGTCCTATCATAAGTTAAACACTTGCTTGAAAGAAGTCATTTCACACAATCGCCCGCAGGGAAATCTAGCAGGAGCCACCTTTACATGCCGTGAAGTTACCTAAGGCGCTAGACCGCACGAGATGTATCAAGGCTAGGGGTGAGTCTTCTCAAAATTGAAGTGGGATTAGGAGGGTTAAAAATTCATTAAGCATGCGCGGCATGAGTCCCATTGTGCAACCTCCTCAAAGACTCAACTAGAGAAAACGGTTATATGCAGCGCGTACTGCACAGGATAATGGAAGTAATCCCGAGCATTTCAGAGCCGAATCAGTAAAACTAGAAGGGTGTTCAAGGTGTGTAATAGGAATCTTAGTTAAGCAACTCTGGTCTAAAAATTCGGAAAGAGATAATCAATGTAGTGAGACCTTTCTGCGTAGTCCACACGGCGCAAGACAGCAAAGCAAGGCTCGCGAGCTCTAGAGAGGAAATAGTGGATAGAAGTGGCTACTGTAGTAAGCTGGGATGCGTCAAAAGCAAGAATAGCTAGCCATCCTACAAACTAGGCAGGAAGTATTTAAACATGATGCGTATTTACTGGGCGACTTGTAATACACAAGTTGTAGAGGAACTGTCATGTGCTCTTCAATAGAAATTGTAAACAGCATTACATGATTTATGGGGTCAATAAGTCTCTAAAGTAGGACCAACTATCCTACAAATTCAGCGAAAAGTATGCTAACACGCTGCGCACTTACAACGAGAATAAAACTTGTCAAGTAGCCATGTCTTGCGTAGCAAATGCATACTATATACACGGTAATTCAGAAGAAATCCTACGCCTTCTAGTGCAGAGCCTGTAAATCTAATTTCTCTTTAGCTGCTCCAGCAAGTCTCGTCTTTGGTAGGCTGGCAAGAACGGAGGGAAAGAGAATGTATTATCATGAAAGGAGTGGGAATTCTGACGAAGCGGATATGGAAATCTACAGCATGTTACCACAAACCACGGAACTTGACCGGGATAAATTTGAACTGTTAATCCTCATGCTAGAATGTAGGAGGACGTTACGAGGACAATAATTGTGAGAGTGGAGTCGAAACCGCAAGGTGCACGGTGGATTTATCTGATAACGATGGCCCCTTGCCGCTAGCGTTTGTACGGAAATTATAAGCTCATCCTTTCCGATCGTCTCTCGCCACTGGAACACGATTTGCTGATGGTAAATGTCCATCTCTCCTGACACTTACCTTTGACCCCCTCTCCCTTTCTCCCCTACATGTGATTAGGCGTTCTTCAACTACAAACCGCACTGTTCCCTCCATCGCATACCTACGACCGCGTTTCGCCCTCACCATGCCCGCCCGCACGCTTCCGACCATTTCCATCGCCGACGTCAAGGCGCGCAATACTGTACAATCCTGCTATGTCACTATTGGTACTAAGGTCTACGATGTGACGAGCTTCCTTTCCGACCATCCGGGGGGCGGCGACCTCATTCTAGAGCATGGTGGTCAAGACGTTGGAGACATGATGAAAGACGAAGCATCGCATTTCCATTCGGAGGCTGCATATGAGATCCTAGACGAGTGTCTAGTGGGCTTTGTAGGAAACGAGCAAGTGCTCAATGGCGCCGTACAGAGCATCAAGCCCGCAGAGACCGTACCTCTCCCCCTCTCCAGAGCCGGCCAAGCCGAACCCATCTACGCTGCCACTGGCATGTCCACCGAAGAAGACCTCTCTCGCCCCACAGACCCCAATACAGACTACCAAACCCACAAATTCCTTGACCTCTCGAAACCTCTGTTCTTACAAGTGTGGAATGGCGGGTTCCAGAAAGACTTTTATCTGGAGCAGGTGCATCGGCCGCGGCATTACAAGGGAGGAGACTCAGCGCCGCTGTTTGGCAACGTATTGGAGCCACTGAGCAAGACACCGTGGTGGGTGGTGCCCACACTATGGCTGCCTCCGGTTGCGTACGGAACGGCGCTGGGGGTAGGCAGCCTAGGGGTGCCGGTTGCGACGGCGTATTGGTGTACGGGTGTGTTTATATGGACGTTGGTTGAGTATATACTTCATCGGTTTTTGTTCCATTTGGACTAGTACGTGCTCCGTCTGTACCCTCTGTTGAGCTCGACTACTGACCGCCTTAGCTACCTCCCTGATAATCGCGTCGGCATCACGCTGCACTTCCTGCTCCATGGGATCCACCACTACCTCCCCATGGACAAGTATCGCCTGGTCATGCCACCAACCCTATTCCTAGTGCTTGCAACGCCGTTTTGGAAACTAGCCCACACTATCTTCTTCTACAATTGGTATGTGGCAGTGACTGTCTACTGTGGAGGTATCTTTGGATACGTCTGCTACGATCTGACGCACTACTTCCTCCACCACCGCAAGTGAGTTGCCACTCGTGCCTGTGACCGTTTTCGCTCTGACAATATTGCAGCCTTCCCGCATGGTATCGCGAGCTCAAGAAGTACCACCTCAGGCACCACTTTGCGGATTACCAGAAAGGCTTTGGCGTTACAAGCCGCTTCTGGGACTGGGTGTTCAACACCGAGCTGGAGATGCCGCAACCCAAGGTCATCAAAGCATCGTAGATGCGGTGTGTCTGGATTGGCTTAAGTACTACTAGAATTACTGCTCTGTGTATATAGGCATCAACGAGGCGCTGGGGGTGGCTCTGGATGAATATGCAGGGGCTTTTGAAGATAATGGCTGATGGAAGGGCTCTGCTGCTGGGAACAGTGGGCAGGCTGTGTTTGAAATGAAGTCACCATCCGTAACATCAATGCACTCTGCTCACTGGTTTAGTTTTTATGCCTTACTCATATTCCATGGGATAGGATAGCATGCTGTAGTCGCACTTCGGGAACCAAGCACTCACGCATTCACGCATTCAGGCATTCAGACCCAGATAGAGGCGGAGGCCGACATGGCCCGTGCACCAATGGCGCCTCGCTTCCCTAGCGTGGCTACAAAATCCTCCCAAGCGCAAGCCCCAGTCAACTTGCCCTCTACCCACTGCTACTCGCACAGCACAAACACCAACACCTAACACTCACAACGATCCGCGCCATCAATCTGCTCTGCTCATCTCGCGACTGCAAAACCTAGTCCCCACGCTGCGCGCTCGCAGCGTCGTGCATCGTTGCGTGTGTCCAGTCCTGCTCGCTCAACCGCCCAGTCCATCACGGGTGTCGAGAAGTCTCAATCTCTAACCTTCACCCTGCTCGCTCCCTCAACCAACAACACCCGTTTCCCGATTAACTACCCTAGGACTTCGGCTCAACATGTCCGACCTCAACGCCGTGGAGATGCTCCTTGACAATGCCGCCGCCGCCGAGGAGGCCCAGCGTGCCAGCCCCTCCTCCCACGACAGCCGAACCTCGCACCGCCGCAACGGAGACGATCGCTCCTCAGAACGTGACCGGCACCGCCGCGACCGCGACCGCGATGGTGACCGTGATCGTGGACGAATCTTTCGTGAGTCAGATAAAGAGCGACACAGGAGCCGCGAGCGTCGGCGACGAGATGGAAGCCGGACCCGTTCGAATATGGATGCTGACACAGATGAAGAACTCCCAGACAGGACCCGCAATGGTGACGACCAGCACCGGCGGCGTGAGCGCTCTCGTGAGCGTCGTGAGCGGGATGAGAAGCGCCGAGGAGACTACTATGTTGGGGGGGGGCACCATCGCTCTCGATCACCCCGCCGTAATCGTGAGGACCGCCGCGACAGCTATCGCTCGGGACGTGACCGCTCCCGATCCCGCGAGCGTGATACTCGTCGTCGTGATGATAATCGTCGTCCACGACGCCGGAACAGCCCCGCTACCCCACCCCCTACGGAAGATGACCGAGACAGACGCACCATCTTCGTCCAGCAGATCTCAGCCCGTGCCGAAGTTCGTCACCTCCGCCAATTCTTTGAGCGCGTCGGTGCCGTAGTTGAAGCCCAGATCGTCACGGATCGTGTCACCGGACGTTCCAAAGGGTAAGTGCCCCCCTTCGTACCAAATTTGGATTATATTGCTGATGCCCGCCCAGCGTCGGTTATGTCGAGTTCAAGGAAGAAGAGTCAGTCAAAGCCGCTATCGAGCTAACCGGCCAGACTTTGAAAGGCGTTCCGATCATCGCTCAATTGACGGAAGCCGAGAAAAACCGTGCTTCACGTGCTAGTGCCGAGGGCGCTGGCACTGCAGGCAACGGTGCTCCATTCCATCGTCTCTACGTCGGAAACATTCACTTCAGCGTCACCGAGGAGGACCTAAGGACCATCTTCCAACCCTTCGGAGAGTTGGAGCAGGTGACCCTTCAGACTGATGAGCAGACCACGCGGTCCAAGGGTTACGGTTTCGTTCAGTAAGTGAAGCACCTCTCCTGTAGCTAAATATTTTTTTTCTCTCGAGGCTCACATTTTTCAGGTTCCGTGACCCCGAGGCCGCTAAAGCTGCCCTCGAGCAGATGAATGGTTTCGAGCTAGCTGGCCGCCCCATCCGAGTCGGCCTGGGAAGCGACAAGTTCACCCCAGAGTCTACGGCTAACCTTCTCAGGAATTTCAACTCGCAGGCCTCGACGTATCAAGGTTCTGCCTTTAGTGGTGCTGGCGGTCGTGGTGCGCATGCTGGAGGCTCCGGTGGAGTCTTCGATCGTGCCCATGGTCGCGATAATCGTGGAGTGAGCGGCGCGTCCGCTCTAGACGACACTGACGTTGGCGGTGTTAACTTCAACAACTTCAACCGCGTATCTTTGATGCACAAGCTTGCCCGCATCGAGGAGCCAGAACCTGTGAACGGTCGCTCCAATGTCGGGGTTTCTACCACCTCACGTGCTCCAGTTGTCGAGGAGAAAGCCCCATCAAAATGCGTCAAGATTGAGAATATGTTTAATCCTGACATGTACGTTCGCTGTACCTGGTGGTTGTTTCATGATGCTGACACTCTACACAGCGAGCTCGCTTCCTATGGCGCAAACTGGGCCAAGGAACTTGAGAAAGAAGTTAAGGAAGAGTGCCAGAGGGCGTATGGGCCTGTCGTCCATATTGCGGTTGACCAAAACTCCCAGGGCGACGTATACGTCAAGTTCGAGACGGTCTCGGCCGGCGAGCGAGCCTACCAAGGCCTCAATGGTCGACTATTTAATGGCAACCGAGTCATGGCCTCCTATGTGGTCGATATGGTGTACAACTCCATGTATCGCACTGCTTCCAGTAGGTACTAGCCCTCCTTCCTTACCTTGCCGACGCCATGCCATGCTTGCCATACCAATGCTATGATTGAGTGAGGCTTTGGACTCTCAAGGGTCATTCGGAGGATGCCGTCAGACGTGGTCTTAGCCACTGATAAAGATTGGGATGTTGTTAGTATGGAAGGATCTGCAGGAATGAAGATTGAAGATGGAATGCATGTACATAAAGTGCTGACGCGTCTGACTGGTTAATAGTCTTCATTGCTCATATAGTGTAGGGTTTTGCGCGGTTCACCTGGGTAGGAGGAGATGGAATTGGCCGCCTACCACCTGTATTGGTGGACGGTTTGGTAGGTCGATATTTTCCAGTGTGGCGGGAGTCGATTTCGTCGTCTACTCGCCCATCTGGCCAAAAATCAGAACCCTTCAACCCCTCTTCCTCTTTCATTGCTGATTAATCTGCAGTTGCCCTTGGCGTTTATTTCCCCCACTCCTCCCTTTTATGCTGTGATCTAACACTATACCATAGTCGCACCTCCTACGAAACATTGTTCGAGTGGAGTTGACCTATTCTGTCTCTTGCCGGACTCGACGAGAACAGCAAGCGGTAAACAGACTGCCGACCTATTTCACTGCCTGTAGCGTTCCGTCATTTAGTCTTACACGTAGGCATCTACTTCCAAGGCTTCGAAGGTGAACTCTTGGCGCATGAAGCGAACAAGATGCCAACCGTAGAATGCTGCCTTGGACATATCTGATGGCGAGTATCCGAATTCATTTGTAGTTATTTCTCTTTATTTCCTCAACGTCACCGTTGAAAACCTAGCCAGAGTGATTAACCTGTCACGGTAGCTACGACCATTTGTCCTGCCTCAGGTGACATTCAGGCAAATGTAGGTGTGCTTGTTTATGCCAGTCGTAGACATCTACTGTTAGATGTCAATCATTTCTCTATGGAAGCATTCCCTCTTGATATATTTGCTGTAATTCAAGTACAGATTTGAGAGGAGGTTTGTTGCCTTTTGTCAAGTTGCCTGTACTTCCATCTCCCCTGTTCTATGTTCATACTATCTCGTCAAAGTCCTTGGGGCTTCCTAGACCCGAGAGTCAAGTAAGTCTAGTTTCTCATCTTCCAACCAAATAAGAGAACGGTACTTAGCCAATATTGTGTCCACGGGTACCATAGAAGGTTCTAGACTCGTTCCAGTCATACAGAAACCCTCAGGCCAACAGAGTGAAGATCGTCGAAGGAGGTCACTAGTAGAGGGAGGCTATGTCAGTTCGCTCCCTGCCCTCTCATTGGTTTCGGCCCGCAGTGCTATTCTCTTCACTGAATGTCGCCCACTGCTCTGTGATGGTGCCCCCTGAGCTCCAAAACAGCCTAGCCTGAGCGCCCACAACCTCTCCCCAAGACCTCCCTAGTACCATTGGACCATTTCCTCCGGATCTTTCTCCTCTCTTCCCTATTTCTTCACCCACACACCACTTGTTTGGGAGCTCGCTCCTTCTTGCCTTCTTGCCAGGCCTAACACTTCAGTCACATTTAGATCTTGAACTCTCATTGCGGCGGTCCTCACGTCTGCCGCTGTTTCTCCTTCTTACGCAATACTAGCTTCGACAAGGCGAGTATTTTTCGTCGGCGCTGAGGCTGTCGTTCCCTATTACTGATGCCTGGCTGCAGATGACCCTCCCAGCCATGCCGTTGAGGGATTCCCAAGCGGCGGTGAATATCACTGGTAGTGGTCAGCGTTTGTTTAGCGCTATCTTCAGTGCCTATGATCAGCTGCCATCACCATTTGGTCCGCACATGTCATCTACCTCCTCAATGACCCTAGAGTAGGTTTCCTTCTCCACAAGGGGTTCCCCTGACTCTGATGAGCGAGTATTGATTTGTGGAATCTACTTTCTCACTGCAGGTCAGGCGTCCGGATCTCTCTGCTTCTCTTAATGCTACTGGTGCCAATCCCCTTGACCATATGCGCTCTTCACAAGAGCTTGTAGCCGGCTCGCAATGAGATTAACTGTCTCTAGATGCAAAATCAACAGTTGACGAACTTCTACCAATGCGAGCAGGAGAAAAATAAAAAGGCTAGTCCTCGCACTCAGGGTAAAGCTCTTCCACCACTTCAAGTCGTTCAACTTGACAGTCCCATGACCCCGAGCCATCCTCGACAGAAGATCAACTCTGGTCAATTCGTTTCTGGATTTGGTCGCCCTCCGAACATAGTTATGTACCAGCGAGAACCTCAGTCTAACGGCGCATGCAACCTACAGTATCTCCTGGATTTGAACATCAGGATGACTGAGCTTTGTTGGCGGACTTCTTTGAAGAGATCAAGGACTGGATGAAGAAGTGGTTACTCCCGCATGAGGGTTTGGCCCCCGGTGAGGAAGCAGCTATGGTCAGCATTCTGCAAGACTTTCTGCGCAACAGCCCACACGAGAACTGCCAAGCCCGTGTCATAGAAAACAGTATGCGATGTGCACTTGTACCAGCCGTGGTAGCTAGGGACATTGTATCTAACGCCATGTTCGACTTCCTCCTCTAAAACTCTGGGTATGTAGAGGTAAAAGCGAGCGTAGAGCTATTCTACATGTTCAATCGTTTTGCAGAGGGTAGTTGTGCCGAAAATTACCCAACTTCTGATCTGAGAGAAGGCCTCTACTCTCGCCTTAAAGTCGACCGCGTTCATCGCGAGTGGCGATCTGGAGTGTCTTAGAAGTCCGCTTCGAAACTTATCAATAAACTCGCTCTACTCCTCCGTGCTAGCATCGGGATCGCTACATTCTATAATTCACTTTACGAGCTTTTTCTTTAAGGGTTATCGCATTGGCTTCTACATGCGTATGGAGGCAGTCAAGGGGGAACTGGCCTGGCCTGTGGACGGCGATGAATTTAAGATCCACTCCATGGCTAACTAGTCTTGTGATCTTTGCGGTAGTTCCACCCAAACCTTGAATAGGATTCAAGAATTCCCACACGAATTCTCGGTACGCTTCGCTATGTCCCCATCCACGGTCAAGCACAGCTTTGCCTTCAGCTCTAACGAGAAGGTGGTCATTCATAAAGCCCTAGTTCACTTGCTCGAGCAGGATACCTATGATGGAGCCGATTTTACCCGCAAGATGACGGAGCGCTCACCCACCGGCAATCGTAAGGGCTGTGTCATTTACTAGCGATTAAGTCCAAAATACCGGCTTAGCCACGTCACTAGTCGTAACCGAATTGACGCTCTACATCGAATCGAATCGATCACACTCTGATGGATGTCCATGGACAATGGCTCCAAACTATCCTGATTGTTTCTTTCTCTGTTTACTACACTTATGTAAGGTGATCCAAAGGGATTTGTCTTCGTGTTCACTGCTGTCTCAACTTCGCTAATGTTGTTGAGATGTATTGCAAACTGCTGGTATCTGCGGTTGCTGTCTTGTTCAATTGAGTGGCTCTGTTGCACGGCGCGGCAATGGGTCTCTTTGATGTAGTTGTATGCTTGCCATAACGTGTTTTATCAGTAAGCTGCGGACATCAGTAAGCTGCGCACCCCACCAAACCGCGCGAAACCGCGTCCACACCTTTAACTATGGCTCGACAACCACAAGCTCAATCTCTAGCAAAAGAAGGCAGACTTCAGCTTGCTCTTGTCTTAATTAAGTCTAACCCTTGTCTATCAATTTGTGCAGCTGCTGCAGCCTATAACGTACTAGAATCCACCCTCCAAACGCGCCTCTGTGGTATCCTCCCAAAACGCGAGACAATCTTGGTCAACCGCAAGCTATCGCCTATCAAAGAGCAGTCGCTTGTCTCCTAGATCCTAGATCTTAACCAACGCAGCTTTCCACCCTATATTATTAACGTGCGTTAAATGGCGAACGTTCTGCTTTAAGCTTATTACTAAGATCCTCCACTAACGCCTGTAGGCAAGTGCTAGGTATCACGCTTTGTTAACAGCCAGGCAGAGCTTTAGACAAAGTAGGACAGAAAGATACACTCCTAGCGCGCTCTCTATTAGGATCTAGTTAAGTTTAGAGCCTAGTTTAAGCTAGTAGAGGACACGCGTTAGACGTACAGGATACTAGATAAGGATACCTACAATTTTAATAAGACAGGATTTATAATAGGGGTTGCTAGCACGTCTAAGGTTGTTACTAGCTCTAAGACTATTAGTTAAGCAGTTACTGTACAGCCTAGTAATTGCAACTAGGTTACTATAATTAAGTGTATTAACACGTCTAGCTAGTTGCTCCTACTGCTTATTATCTTACATAGAAAGCTCTACTAAGCTAGCTAGTATTATAATATCCCTAGCAACTAGACGCTTGCAGTAAG